TTTCTTGCAGGGAATGAAATCTCCTTACTACTTGCCTTTTGTCTATTTTGGGGTACTTAAATCCCAAAAATTGATGAAAATCCAATTATCAAAATAAATAACAACTAAAAGTTCAGATTTTCACGAAATTATATATTTGTACATGACAATTGTTTCGACAACTGCGTATCTTTATAAAATGTAATATTTACCAACTACCTGCTAGTATATATACCGAAAAATGGCGATAAAACCTTAATTAATGTTGTTGTGAGAATTTAAGTTCAATAAAGGAGAGGTATTTAAATCTAATTGAACGTTAAGCAATACATTTGAATGTCACATTTTGTTAATCTCTCTCTGTATGTAAAATATCAAAATTGTCATTTCATATTTACCGAGTTAGTTTGATGAAAAACCGCTGAAGTTACGTCAAACTGTTGGAAAACAATCGGGTTCCACAAAGTTTTCAAAGTGTTACATCACAAATTCTTCCTACTAAGTTAGTTTAACGTGTACTGTACGAATTTATATTATTTAATATAGAATAGGTATTAAAAGTTTCTTATACAGTGTGTCCAAGATAAGGATGCACAGCATGGGGATCTCGGAAACTATAAGAGATACAGTGTCGGTTAAATTAGACAAAAGTTGCGCATTTTGATACCGAACAAGATCCCGTTTTACAAATTTGAAAATTCCAAGCCGTTCCGGAAATATCCGAGAAAAACCGAAATATTGCGATTTCGTTTTTATTATTTTTTAAAGCTATTTGAAAAGATATGAAAAAACGGAAAACACTTTTCCATTGGCACTTTTTAATCTCTCCAAATTGACGTTAACAAATTTTCATTACAGCGTTTCGATTCCATGGAACCACCATCAACTTTGATTTTTCTTATGGGACGGAAAAAAAGTACACACAATATTAGGTTGTGCTTTTCATTGCGAATTCAACGATGTACGATACAATATGGTTACTTATGTTTTTATCCAGAAAAATGGATTTTTAATACATTTCAGCATTTAAATGGAGTAGGCCATGACAAAATGACATCCAGTCAATTTCAATGACACATTAATGTTATTTGTCTTTGTTATCAGTCGATCATAAGTTTATTCCTTTAGTTATTGTTTTTGTATTTTTATTGTTGTTGTCTTTTTCTAATTTATTTTGTTCTACAATGGAGGGAGGTAATTTTACAAACGAAGAAAAATGTGATATGCTGTCTTGCTACATCTGATGCCAAAGAAATTGTGTGGAAGCCGAGCGTATGTATTCTAACAAATACCCAGAGCGGAGACAACCTGACAAGAGTATTTTTCGGCGTTTTGTTATTTAATCTGAAAGAATATGGATCATTTAAGAAGCCTGCATTATCCCGACAAAAACCTTCCAATGAAGAAAACCAATACATTGTTCTACAATCTGTTATCGAAAATCCACAAACTTCTACCAGAGAAATTGAAGACCAGAATGGGGTAGCTAAATCTACAACTCAGTTTATTTTAAGGAAAAATGAATTTAAGCCTTACAAATTCAGAATATGTCAAGGATTAAAACCGGGTGACGACGAACGACGTAGACATTTTTGTGAGTGGTATACCAGGATGTGTGATGAGAGTTTTAATTTTCCATATAAAGTGATTTGGTCTGATGAAAGTATGGTGACCAATAACGGTATTTATAACAGGCGCAATACACACTATTGGTCGCAACAAAATCCACGTGTTAATAGACTATCCAGACATCAACTTCGCTTTGGGTTTAATATTTGGTGTGGGATTTTTGGTAGCAAGATTATAGACCCTATTTTCTATAATAATTCCTTAACTTCCGAGCGGTACCTTGACATCTTGAGGCACGATTTAGAAGATGCCTTAGATGATTTACCGCTAGGCTCTGTGCAAGGCTGCTGGTTCCAACAAGATGGTGCCCCAGCCCATAACTCCAGAGAAGTTCGCCAATATTTAACTGAACGGTTTGATGGAAAATACATTGGGACTTACAGTGAAACACCTTGGCCTCCAAGGTCCCCGGACTTAACTCCCTTGGACTTTTTCTTATGGGGCTACATAAAAAATGAGGTATTCAAAGAATGTTTTGACAACGAGGAACAATTACGTCAATCAGTACGAGCAGCGTTTAATAAAATTACTCCTGAAATGTTAAGTCGTGTTTTGGAGTCTACCGTGAGACGGGCGTACTTATGCCTAGAAAATGGAGGTCATTTATTCGAACATTTGTTATAGAATTTGTTTTTCATTAACTTGTTGGATTTAGTTTGTTATGTTAAATGAACAGTTAGAGTTAGTAAATAAATAAACACATTAACTCGAACTTGTCAACCATTTTCTTTTGCCTTTCATCGTTCGGATCTCATGGCCTACTACAATAAAATACTAGAAATGTATTAAAAAGCCATTTTTCTGGATAAAAACATAAGTAACCGTATTGTATCGTACATCGTTGAATTCGCAATGAAAAGCACAACCTAATACTGTGTGTACTTTTTTTCCGTCTCATAAGAAAAATCATATAAAAAAAATCAAAAGTGGTTCCATGGAATCGAAACGCTGTAATGAAAATTTGTTAACGTCAATTTGGAGAGATTAAAAAGTGCCAATGGAAAAGTGTTTTCCGTTTTTTCATATCTTTTCAAATAGCTTTAAAAAAATAATAAAAACGAAATCCCAATATTTCGGTTTTTCTCGGATATTTCCGGAACGGCTTGGAATTTTCAAATTTGTAAAACGGGATCTTGTTCGGTATCAAAATGCGCAACTTTTGTCTAATTTAACCGACACTGTATCTCTTATAGTTTCCGAGATCCCCATGCTGTGCATCATTATCTTGGACACACTGTATATTCCATTACAAACCCCATTCAAAACTACTCGAAGTTCTTGTCCAAGTCGCAGCGATAATTTAACCTATACAAACGGAAATTAGAAATGTGTGTGAAATTTTATAAAAATAAAAGTTCAGATGGATTTTCATCAAGGAAAAGCCTCCTCAGTTCAATTTTTGATATTTTGTATTTTTCAAGGTTCATAATGCCCTTTTATAAATATTTTTTTACTAATACTTTTTGACTGAGCGAGTTTAATGGAAAAACACTAATGTCACGTGAAAATTTTGGAAATCAATCGAGATCCACGCAAATTAATGTTCGAAGTTATATTATTAAGTTTAGAATATTAAAGTTTCTTATATTTTACGTTGAAAAATAATCGGCATTCGCTCATTACTGAGTTAAACGTTTCTTGCAAATTTTCTAATTCTCAATATGCGGCATTCGCTTATTTTTAAAAGTCAAAAGTTTTAAATTAGTTAAAAGTTTCTTATATTTTACGTTGAAGAATAATCGAAATTCTTGTCAGATATACGCATTTCTTTTGCAAAGAGATAAAAGTTTCTTATATTTTAAGTCGAAAAATAATCGAAATTCTTGTTAAAAATAAGCGTTTCTTACAAATTTTCAAATTCTCAATACATTTGCATTTGCAACGCATTTGCTTATTTTTACAGAGCTAAATCGCTATTGTAAAAATAATCAATCTTGTAAAAAAGCGTTTTTTTTTGCAAATTTTCTAATTGTCAATATGCGGCATTCGCTCATTTTTAATAAGTTAAAAGTTTCTTGTATTTTCCGTTGAATAATAATAGAAAAAGAAAAAGAAAGAAAGAAAGAGAGAAAGAAAAGAAAAAGAAAAAGCGAATTTTCTAATTGTGAGTATGCATTCGCCTATTTTTAGCTTTTTAAAATTTCTTATATTTTCCGTTGAAAATTAATCGACATTCTTGTTTAAAAAAACTCGTTTTTTTTTAGCTTATCTTTAAAAGTTAAAAGTTTTGGTTAGTTTTTGAAAAATTTCGAATTCTCAATATACGGGCGGGCGGCATTCGCTTATTTTTACCCAGTTAAAAGTTTCATATATTTTAAGTTGCAAAATAAGCGAGGTTCTTGTTAAACAATCGTTTTTTGCAAATTTTCTAATTCTCAATATGCGGCATTCGCTAATTTTTAAAAGTTAAAAGTTGAAAATTTTAAATGCGTTAAAAATGTTATATATTTTAAATTGAAAAATAAAATAAATAAAAACTTTCAATATGCCGCATTTGCTTATTTTTACTTAGTTAAAAGTTTCTTATATTTTTTGAAAAATGATAGAAATTCTTTTTTAAAAACACTTTTTTTTTCAAATTTTTTTAATTTTCAATATGCGTAGTTCGCTTATCTTTAAAAGTTGAAAATTTTAAATGAGTTAAAAGTTTAAATCGAAATTATTATTAAAAAGAACGCATTTGCAAATTTTCTAATTCCCAATATACGGCATTTGCTTATTTTTACCGAGTTAAAAGTTTGTTATATTTTACTTTGAAAAATAATCAAAATTCTTGTTAAACAATCGTTTTTTGCAAATTTTCTAATTCTCGATATGCGGTACTCGCTTATTTTTAAAAATTGTAAGCGGAAAGTTTTAAATGAGTTAAAAGTTTCTTTTATTGTACGTTGCAAAATAATCGAAATTCTTCTTAAGAAAACGCGCATTTTCTAATTGTGAACATGCATTTGCTTGTTTTTACCTAGTTAAAATTCCTTGTATTTTTCATATAATCGAAATTCTCATAAACCCGCATACTAATAATAATAATACCATGATTATATAACTTTTATAAATTAATACTGAGCCCGTGGCGCCGCCGCGACTTTTCCGGACGTTCGATTTCGAAAATCGGGGTTTCCGGGTGCCCCCCACCCACCCCCGGCCCAACGCGAACAAAGAAATTCGCGGACCGGCGAAAAATGGCCGCGCAAGCGCCCCCCGCGCGGTCGATCAGTTTCATTGAAGTTCCCGCCGAAAGGGAAAGTACGTCGACGCCGCCGCCGCCCCCCGGTCCCCCTCCGCTTTCGGTTTCGACGCCGCCGCCTCCGCCGCCGCGCGGCGCCGTTTTCCCGCGGAAATTGCAACGGAAAAACGAAAACAAAAGAAAGACGAGCGTACGAGACACTGACCGTGTGTAAATAGGGACAGTTTTTTCCGCCACACTCTGTCTGTCGCACACACCACCTCCACGATTGCACGCACTACGCTTACGACTGTCGCCCGTCGGCGTGTTTTTACGCACCCGAGCTTTTTCGAGGCGAACGGCGCGCCGCCACGGCACATCTGTCGCCTTCGCGAACCAATCGCGAGCTTTCGACACTTCGGGAGCTTTCGGCGACGCTCGGCAGGCGCGCGATGCGACGTTTTCTACGGGGGCCGCTCGATTTCGTGCTCGCCGACGATAGGACAGCGGCGGCTCGTCGGATAGACTCTAAATTGTCTCGCGATTCCTGCAAAAAGACTTGAAATGCCCGAGAAATCGTCCGGCAATAAACCCACCCATTTCCACGATTTAACTAATCAAAATATAACATTTTTCGAACGTTTTGTTTATAAATCTTTGATTTGGTCTCTTGAAAACATTTTCTTTTTCCGATACACCGTGCCCGGTATAACATGAAATAAATAAAGACATGATTTCGGAGTTGTATTCCCAAAGGGCGTGGACGGCGTCGATGTGAAAATACTTTCTTTACAGGGGCTCCAGTTTTGGAGTAATAAACGGTAGACAAAGTTAATCGAGGAGTCGGTTGTAAAAGCATTATATTTCTGGTCGATGTATAACAAAACTATTGGGTGTTGAATTGTAATATTTTACGGCATTATCGGAAAAACTACTGTCTACGAGACTCCATCCTAAACCACCCAGTCCGTTTAAAAAAAATTAAAATACGTTCTTTTTTTCGTAAGCCATGCACAAAACGGACACACTGGTTTTGAACTCTTTAAATTCCACACTCACTTTCATTGTCTAAACAAAAAGAATTTACCTGCATAATATTTTTAATGCCGCATGTGCCCTTTGTAGGCAAAGTTAATCACGGGATCGGCTGTAAAAGTACTATATTTCTGGTCGAAGTATAATATGATAAGTGTGCTCTGTGTACTCTGTTCAATGTCTACAATATTGGAAACTTAATAATAATATTTTTATTTTAATTTTGGGTATTGTTTTAAACGTTTAATTTTAATGTTTTTGCCATATTAACCTAATATACAAAAAGCAATATATATTATAATACAAAATAATAATATTTAATCTTGTACATTTTTTCGTATTGAATTCACTAACTCCATAAAATTGACTGAAGCAAACGCTTCTTCTAACTCCTTTGGGTTGAAAAATTCTATCTTTAAATATAAGATCTTTTTCTCCATTTGTAATCAATTCCCCGATAAAGTTCATTGGCTGACTGCTGAACTTAAAGCTTGTCTTTGGCCACTAAAATTATGTCCGACCCAAGATAAAATTCAATAAAGAATAAAAGTTATGTCCTTAACTGACATTGACAGCTATATGCAAGTACCGATAACTCTATATGGCTGAAAAGGCCTCGACACGTCCATTTTTTTATTCATTTATGAGAAACGGAAAACTGTAGATAATATCTGAGCGAGCCACTGCATTTTTCCTGCGAAACTCATCAAAATTGCAATATACGCACCCCACATCTGCCACTAATAAAAGCAACCCAATGGACGAAATAATATAATTAGTACTTTAGACGTCAAACTTTTTGCAATTATGCCAAAAATAGGGCGAGATTTTAAAAGGATGTAACTAAGTTTTAAAAACATCGAGATATGGAAAAACATTGCAATAAAGATAATTTTGGGGATTCTTGCCCTAGGTACCTCGAAAATAACCAAAAGCAATGAAAAGAATTGGAAGAAATGGATTTTTTGTCTTGGATTGCTTAAAATAAAGGACAGTTTGTTGACGGAAGCATTTAAAATATTCGGTCAAAAGCCAAATATTCAGGAGACATCGCATCACAAATATGGCGGAAAACAGAGCAATGAAACATGGGGTAAGTAGTATATAATACATAGAATGTACATTATTTTTAACTAAATTAAAGGAAAAAAACATGAAATTTATGAATAAATTATGAAATAGCAATTTTTTAATAAAACGTAGAGATTGTGAATAAAAAAAATTGTCATATAAAAAAATCCAAGGGGCTGCTGTTACTTCTTGGTTTGAATACAAAAAATATAGAAAAAATAATTTAATCCAACATTTCTTATCCATTTATTTAACTGTTCGATAATAAACATCATGCGTATGTGCCACTGCAACAGGTATAAATTCGTTATTTTACCCCAATAAGGATTAAAAATAAATAACAATCGCTACCTCCCACTTTGAGATTTTTGCAGGTGATAATCTAGGATTTAAGATGGTTGCAACGCATACGGATTCGAAAGGACTGCGTTTGGCGTCAAACGTAAATCAAATTATATCCGCACAACATTCCATAAAATTAGGGCCATCGTCCTTGCGCATTCGCCATTAATAAATATTTTTTTCGCACTGGCATCTGGCTTGCCGGCGACCTTAGCTCCCTTCGCTTTCGTGGGAATATAAACGTAATTTATATTCCAATTTCTTTTTTAGTTAAAGACAGGTTAATTTTAGTTAGGTTTGATTTTGAGCACCACCGGCAGGCCAGACTCTAGCCGTAAGAAGAAGTTTGTTTTTCTAACCTCGCTCGGCACATTGTTTTTCTGTCTCCGGAATAATGCCATTTAAAAAGCGCAACAGGAGGACGAATTTCAAGAAGCACTTCGGGAGCCATTCCCGGAACACGGGCTCGAAACCGAACGGCACCCAATTTAGTGTCGAAACACACCCAGACCGATCCGAGGAGCTCGGGATTACGGAATACGTGTCCACCTTGGAGGGATTTCCCGCCGTTATAAAATCCCGGTACTCAGATTTTCAGGTGAACGAGATAGACTTGGAGGGAAACGTGGCGAAGCTAACCGATACCAGTATACCGGGCGAGTTCGCTACCAAGTTGCAGCAGGTCGATTACAAGCAAGTGGAAGCCAGTCCGATCGAAAAGGTGTCTCAAGAGCAGTGGGTCGCGATGAAAAATCTGGTACAGGGCGGCGCAGAAGACGTCGTCGCCATAGACGCGAGCGACATGGACAAGGACGCCCGTAAGGCGCTGCATCAGTCGGTGGAGAAATATTTCGGCCGCAAAATTATCAGCAACACGGTGGTGGTTGACGGGAAACCGGTCGTGCAGATGAAAAAATACGATAAAGATGGTAAGCGACGACTCGCGAAGTGAGTTTAATCGGTGAGGGAATGTGAGTTTCAGTAAAGGAGCGCAAACAGTGGCCCAACCACTTGCCCGACTTTGTGCACTTTGTTGTTTACAAGGAAATGCTCGATACGATGGACGCTTGCCTAAAAATCGCGCAGCAGCTGAAGATATCGCCCGGGAAGGTGACGTACGCGGGCGTGAAGGACCGGAGGGCGAAGACGACCCAGTGGTTCTGCGTGAGGCGGGCTCAGCCCTGGAAACTAATCACCAAGACGAACTCCCAGAGGAATATCAAGGTCGGTAACGTGAAGTTTCGGGACGCGCCCCTGAAACTGGGTGACCTGAGCGGCAACCGGTTCAGGATCGCGCTGAGGAACGTGGTGGCAGACGACGACGTCATCAAAGGGTCCCTTGAAAGTTTGCGTCTTCGCGGATTTATCAATTATTACGGCAATCAGCGGTTCGGCAATGATCGGGAAACTCCGACATATTCGATCGGTGACAAACTTATCTCGGGACGGTGGAAGGAGGTAAGGGTCCTTGTGGTTTGAAGTTAGGTTAGGTTTACCGCCGTGCTTTTCACTTTGGCGAAATAGATGAACGTATAGACCCTAATGAGTTCTCCAATGTCTGTTCTCTGTATGCCTTATATATATGCACTCATAACTTTAAAACCTTTAGGGGTATGCAGTTGAAGTCGAAAACATTTGGCATCCATCAGACCGCGTCGTCCGTCTTTCTTGCCCAATTTCCATTTTCTAAAATTTAAATTAAAATATCTAGAGAAAAACGGGCTCTAACTAAAAAATTTTGTTTCAGTGGTCAGATTCTAAACTTTCATATTGAACGTTTTTACGTATTCTACAGGGCGTTCGGAATTTTTCCTACCAAATTCGACTTCACATTTGGCAGGGTGCTAAGTTTCCGGAAGTATTTAATTTTTTGTTATTGTTTTATTTTTATTTTTAAAAAAATATTTTATTATTTACTAAAAATTCTTGATATAGGAAACGCAGGAGATCCGGCACCATAACTTTTATTTCACTGTCGGCTTCGAAAAAAAAACGTTTTCATTTTTATGTCAGTTTTCTGTTTCTTTCGCGATTTACTTTTGTTTTTTCGAACATGGCTATGTAACAAAGTAAGTGTCTGGAATTTAAAGCTGTTCACTTGAAATTTGGCATCTAAACTGTTGTTTATGTTAAGCATTTTTTCGATTACAGTTTTCTTTTCAGAGTTAAATTGTAGGTGCAAACTGGTTTCGGGAAGTATTCTGAAAAATTCTTTGAAAAATGTGTATCAAAAAAATTCGGAATCCATTAAACGCAAGAGACCCGGCACTATAATTTTAGAATCAGTTTCGAAAAAGAAGGTTTTCATTTTTTTAAAATTTTTTCGATTATGTACAGGGAGTGCCCGAAAATTAACATTTTTGGTTTCTTTTTTTTTTTTTTTTTTTTTTTTTTCATTTAAGCAGTGTCTTGTTTAATGCAGTTTTGAGGTTGTCTCGAGTGCTCATTTTAAAGGCATTATATGCAGTGCGTACAATAATTTCGTTCATTTTGCGAAAGTGTTCCATACCGGTCCGCAGGAGTAACTACCTTATTGTCTGTTCTCTGTAGTCGCTCTTGTAAACACTCGTCAGTACAAGTTCGAGGTTAAGTTTGGGCTGATGCTCGATTTCAGGCGATCGACTTAATCCTGAAAGTTAAAACGGGTGACGATCAAAGTACCGACCTGAGCAAGGCGAAAAAAATATACGCGGAGACTGGAGACGCCGAAAAGGCTTTGAAAGTGTTAGGAACCAACCGGAACAGCATCGAAGCGAAGCTGCTGGAAGGTCTGGCTCAGAATGACGTCAACGATTACGTCAACGCGTTGGAAAAGGTATTCAAAATTCGTACAGCGTGTCTTGGGAAGCCCTTACCGAACGGAAAAAATTTTAAGTTTGACAGTGTGTCAATGTGGTTACTTATAGAAGCCACCCTGTATATCCAACGTACAGCGTGGTCCATTTAAGATACTCCTATACCTTATGTCAATAACTACGACACTGAGGGAAAAAAGTTAAATACAAAAAGTGTTTGACCCTAAGTATGTATGTATACAGAGTATTCCGTTATATCAGGACAGTACATTAACCAATTTTATTTTTTTAAATATAATGCTATGAATATTTTTAAAAATTCCAATTATTCTCCCGACGTTGAGTTTTTTTTTTTTTTTTTGAAAACTAAAAGTGGAAATTTTTATTACGGATACGTGGATACGGTTAATATTTAATGCTTTGACCTATCTACCTCGAAAATACAGGGCGGTCACAAATGACCATAAAAAAAAATGTTTTTTTATAATTAAAAATAATTTTTTCCTAGACCATGCATTCAATTGTTTTTCTGTTGTCACCATCGTATTCAGTGGAAAAAACCGTCTTTGTATCTCTACTTATAACAAAGTTACCTATGATATACACTTAATTTAAATCGTCTTGTTTATGAATACATTTCAAACCCAATAAAAGTTTCAAATACAGGATGATTTAATTTTTCAAATATCAAAGCGTTAAATACGAACCACTTCCATGGATCCATAATAAAAATTCCCACTTTTTATTTTCAGATGTGAAAAAACACATTTTTGCAAAGACCCGTTTTCCGCAAACAATGTAAAAGTGTACTATTTGCAAACATTTGCAGTTAAGCTCTGAAGAAGCCCACAAGATGATTGCGAAACTTCAGCAAATTCGATTGAACAACAGCCGACGTAGGAGTAAATAGTTTTTCTGCCAAAAACCACTCAAAATTTCGTATGCCATGTAGTCCGACCACACATTATGTGTGTGTCGTCCAAAGTTATATTTTGTTTTCCTATTTTTTTCTTTTGTCATTTTCACTTTTTCCAAATTTATAAATTACTTTAAACTAATTCAACTACGTGCAGTAGCTCAGATTTAATTGAGAAAGCAGTAATTGAACAAGAGCTATCGATGGAAGTTACAACATTATACGTAATGATAAAAAATACTGAAAATCAGGCGAACAATGAGAATTTTTAAAAATGTTCATAGCATTCCGTTTAAAAAAAGTAAGTTGGTCGCTGTCGTGACACAACATATGTAAAACCGCAAATATTAAAATATGTACCGTGCGTTCAATTTATCTTGATAACATTTTAATTGGATGTAACTCATTTGGTTTTAGAGATATGAAGGTAAACGAAAAAACAAAATGTAGGGCTAGTAGCCCAGTTTTTTTTCCAAAGTGACGTATAAAACAACTCAACCAACACATTTTTGGTACTTAATGTTTTTTCCTCCGTTGAGTTAAGGTATAGGAGCATGCATTCTGTACCTCACCCTTTGGTAATTACTTCCCAAACTCACGCTGTGTGACGTCACTCAAACCGGAGGTTCCAGATACCGCGAAACATGAGGCTGATGTACGTTCACTCTTTCCAAAGTCTGGTGTGGAACAAAATGGCGTCGGAACGCATACGCAAGTTCGGCCTGGAGGTGGTTGAGGGCGATTTGGTGTCGGACGAGGACGGCGAGAACCAAGCGGAGGCCGGTATTGCTCGGAGGCTTGTAATGTGGAGGTGTGTTTTCGAGTGTTTTGCGTTGTAGACGAAAACTCGACCGAGGTGGTGGTTAATCGGAAGTGCGTGAAAGTTGTGAGCGCGACGGAGGTCCAGAACTACACCATTTACGACGTGGTTTTGCCCCTGCCGGGTTATGACGTCACCTATCCCGAAAATTTGAAAGATTCCTATAAGGAATTGCTCGGGAAGTACGATTTGACGTTGGAGATGCCCAAACAGAGCGTGAGGTGGGTGCCATGTGTTAATGTTGAGGTTAGGTTTCTTCGTTTTTCGAAAATATTAACCCAAATGACAACATCGATGGTCATTTTACAGCTTTCTTTACTTCGGTAGATCTTTCGAATATCCAGTCTTCTTTTGGTGGCCTTTCCACCTAACTGGTCTATGATATTGATATTTGCTTGTTGTAAGTTCTAATCAGAGCGACTTGATGAGAGACTGCTTGGTTCAACTTTGATTAAGTCCACAGTGATACGACGCATTGTTAATTTTTATAAATGAAGGTTTTAAAGTATAAAAAAAAATAGGTTTTTCCTAAGCATTTTTCTATTAAATGTCCAAGTCTCCAAGTTCTCCATTTTGAAAAAATCCACTGTCAATTTACGTCATCCAGTAATGGACTAAATAAAGATGTCATGCTATGACGTCACTGCACAATTGCTCTGACCGGCCTTTATCATATCTTCGCCCTTTACCTTTATTTTTATCGTTTGCAGCGACGTTTTAGTAAGATATTCAGTTGTTCTGGAATGAAGACGTTTCCGTTTTATATAACCACAATTTCTCTGTTTTGTATAATTTCCTGTTTAAGTCGCATAAATAATGAAGTTTGGCAACACCGTGCAGTTGTAATTTGGCGATCACAAATAAAATTTCCCCATCTACTTTATAGGTGCGAGTATTGATATGGCTATTTTTCAATGTGACAAGTGCAGATTAGGTGTTTATTTAACTTATTTATCTGTGGTCGCCAAATAACATGCAGCTGTACAGCGTTGCCAGACTGTGCTATATTTAGTGATATCTAATAGTTATATAAAACTGTCTGTTTCATTTTTCATCTCCAATCCGATACAAACAGCCAGAAATTAAATCAAATTTTAAAGGATCATGAAAAACAGTATCACTTATGACAGTAGCATAAGAAGTATATCAGAAATTCTACCGTGACAAATAAACGCAAATCTAAATTTTAAAGTTGCAAAAATTACCACAATTAAGACCAGAGTAAAATTACAAAAAATTTAATAAATGTTGTTAATTCTCAAGATAATGGAAAACGAATTTTAATTAATTAATTAACAATTAATGGAAAGAAGAGACGTTGTCTCAGAAATAATAATCGAATGTTTGGCAACAAGGGACGAAAAACCCTATAAAGAATTATGGTCGCGCAAACCAACAATTTTGGCATCTATGACCACAGCGCATAAATAATGAATTTTTTAAAAGGACTGTATCCTACGCAAAAATCTCTCGAAGGAGTAAAATTTATCCCGTTTTGTGCCGGCCTTAGTTAAAATGAATGAAAACGGATCAATTAAAAGCGACAGCACTGTAAATTAAAGTCAATGTTAGCGTTTTGCGAATCAAACGAGTGGGAGGGGGAAGTACATTTTCCTTTCCAGAAGCTACAATTTGAGCGGCGCCTACCGGAAACTATGCGCTCGCGTGCAGGACCTGTCCTGGAACATAATGTATTACTCCAAACCCACAGACGACCTAATCCGATCGGATTTCGAAGAACTAAAAGGCTTAGAGGAGCCCAAAAGCGTCGAAAGTGAGTCCTTACGATGTTTGATGTTTTAGATGTACTTGGTATTTTAACAATAAGTTTAAAGTGACGTCATCGCTAACGTTTGGTATAGTGTGTCTCGAAATATATCGTTTTGGTTAGTTTTTAGTAGCAATTGTTTGTTTTTAAAAATTTCTAAAATTAAATGTTATATTTATTTCCGTACAAATACAATAACATCAGAAGCTACGTTACTTACTAAAGTAACGTATAACTACATTGTGATTAATTACAAGGGGCTCTGTTATTATGTATGCAAATGTGAGGTTCTTTAATCTTTAATTAACGGTAAAACTATCTGCACTCAGGAATTTATCACCTTCAGAAGTCCCTGGATTCAAAATAAATAATATTGTATTGTAAAATGAATCTTGAAATTCAGTTTTTGGTAGTGACAGCCTGTGTTAACAGTAATATTTTTTAACCAATAATTTTGTTTTCAAAGTTTTAAAAAAATTCTGCGCTCCTGTCTTTACGGTAGTCTTTGATATTCTTTGCTGACAAAAGCAGTTTGGTATAAATCCCATTTCTGATGAAGCGTTTCCATTTCAGGGTGCTTTGTCTCACAGTTTTTCTCAGAAACCAACCCATCCTTTAGATACTGTATGTGGTTTTGATAGAGGGAATATATGTTGTCCTTATCATAACTTGTTTTACTGACTATCATTTTTGTAGCTCCAACGGTTCGAAAGTTATTCAGGAAAGCCAAAAACGAGAACGGAGAACGGACAAACATTTTTTTTTGACGGTGATCATTTCTGTACCAACGGCGATCCTATAGGACATACCGTTACCGAGATATAAAATTTTTATACGAGCGCAGATACTCTCGAAAATTCTATTTCATCGATTTTCGAAAGTAACATGTCTTTTGTGCATTCACAATTCAAACAAACACTTTTACCTTGTATCACCATTCTGTGTTTCTCCATTATTATTGTCGGGCACCTTGGATGCATTTTACTTACTTAGAGCCTCTAAACACATTCTGAAAGTGCTACAGAGTGAATAAAAACTCTTTCCATGGATTCTGCTGGAGCTTAACAGAAAAGAGTTCTTTTTGCCCCGCCCAGTAATGTTTGTAAAAACCGAGACGATATATTTCGCAACACACCATACCAGTTAACGGATTTATACCTGGCGATGCCGCAAATCACTGTAAACTTATCGTAAAACTTTCATCGGTTGTTAGACGGCGAGTTCAAGGCGCTAGTGTTGGAGTTTCGCCTCAAGCCCGCCAGTTACGCAACCATGGTGTTGAGGGAGTTGCTGAAATGCGACACGTCCAGCCACGCGCAGGCGCAGCTGAACCACTACGCGTCTTCGAAGGTGGGCGAGAGGATCCTAATGGGCGAAGACGGCAATAAGGACGAGACGTCGGGCACCGTGGGTCCGATAGGCCTGCTGGAGGACAAGGAGAGGTACGAGGATTTCATGAAACTGGTTTTCTGCGACGGCACGAAGAGGAAAATGGAAGGGAACGGGGATGACGACGACGCCAGCCGCAAGAGGACGAAGGCCGACGGGTCCTGAATTTTATTTATTTTTTTATCGGAAAGTGAATAAAGGATCTCGAGGGCTTTTTGTCTTTTTTGCGAAAAAAATACAGGGTGATTTTTTTTTCGTGTTTTGGTTAGTACAAAAGTGCAGGGCGGGCCTTTTTTGTTTTGGATATTTTTTGATAGTACAAAAGTACAGGGTCAGTTTTTTTTTAGTTTTGGTTAATCTTGATTAGTACAAAACGTTACCCTATAACGTTTTTTATGTTTTGGTTGCTACAAAAGTAAATTGTGAGTTTTTTATCGTCTTATGGTTTGTTTTGGTTAGTACAAAATTGCAGGCTGAGTTTTATTTGGTTAGTTTGGGTTAGTTTTACTTAGTACAAAAGTATAGGGTGAGTTCTTTTTTTTGTTTTGGTTAGTACAAAAGTACAGGATGCGTTTTCTTTTGTTTTGGGCCAGTTTGAGTTAGTTTTGGTTAGTACAAATGCACAGCGTGAGTTTTTTTTTGGTTAATATAAAAATACAGGGTCAGGTTTTTTTATGTTTTGGTTAGTAGCAGAGTCAGTTTTTTTAAATATTTTGATTAACTTTGTTTTGTACTAACTAACCAAAACTACAGGGTGAGTTTTTTTATGTTTTGGTTAGTTTTGTTTAGTACAAAAGTGCAGGGTGAGGTTTTTTATGTTTTGGTTAGTACAAAAGTGCAGGGCAGGCCTTTTTTGTTTTGGATATTTTTTGATAGTACAAAAGTACAGGGTCAGTTTTTTTTTAGTTTTGGTTAATCTTGATTAGTACAAAACGTTACCCTATAACGTTTTTTATGTTTTGGTTGCTACAAAAGTAAATTGTGAGTTTTTTATCGTCTTATGGTTTGTTTTGGTTAGTACAAAATTGCAGGCTGAGTTTTATTTGGTTAGTTTGGGTTAGTTTTACTTAGTACAAAAGTATAGGGTGAGTTCTTTTTTTTGTTTTGGTTAGTACAAAAGTACAGGATGCGTTTTCTTTTGTTTTGGGCCAGTTTGAGTTAGTTTTGGTTAGTACAAATGCACAGCGTGAGTTTTTTTTTGGTTAATATAAAAATACAGGGTCAGGTTTTTTTATGTTTTGGTTAGTAGCAGAGTCAGTTTTTTTAAATATTTTGATTAACTTTGTTTTGTACTAACTAACCAAAACTACAGGGTGAGTTTTTTTATGTTTTGGTTAGTTTTGTTTAGTACAAAAGTGCAGGGTGAGGTTTTTTATGTTTTGGTTAGTACAAAAGTGCAGGGCAGGCCTTTTTTGTTTTGGATATTTTTTGATAGTACAAAAGTACAGGGTCAGTTTTTTTTTAGTTTTGGTTAATCTTGATTAGTACAAAACGTTACCCTATAACGTTTTTTATGTTTTGGTTGCTACAAAAGTAAATTGTGAGTTTTTTATCGTCTTATGGTTTGTTTTGGTTAGTACAAAATTGCAGGCTGAGTTTTATTTGGTTAGTTTGGGTTAGTTTTACTTAGTACAAAAGTATAGGGTGAGTTCTTTTTTTTGTTTTGGTTAGTACAAAAGTACAGGATGCGTTTTCTTTTGTTTTGGGCCAGTTTGAGTTAGTTTTGGTTAGTACAAATGCACAGCGTGAGTTTTTTTTTGGTTAATATAAAAATACAGGGTCAGGTTTTTTTATGTTTTGGTTAGTAGCAGAGTCAGTTTTTTTAAATATTTTGATTAACTTTGTTTTGTACTAACTAACCAAAACTACAGGGTGAGTTTTTTTATGTTTTGGTTAGTTTTGTTTAGTACAAAAGTGCAGGGTGAGGTTTTTTATGTTTTGGTTAGTACAAAAGTGCAGGGCAGGCCTTTTTTGTTTTGGATATTTTTTGATAGTACAAAAGTACAGGGTCAGTTTTTTTTTAGTTTTGGTTAATCTTGATTAGTACAAAACGTTACCCTATAACGTTTTTTATGTTTTGGTTGCTACAAAAGTAAATTGTGAGTTTTTTATCGTGTTATGGTTTGTTTTGGTTAGTACATAATTGCAGGCTGAGTTTTATTTGGTTAGTTTGGGTTAGTTTTATTTAGTACAAAAGTATAGGGTGAGTTCTTCTTTTTGTTTTGGTTAGTACAAAAGTAGAGGATGCGTTTTCTTTTGTTTTGGGCCAGTTTGAGTTAGTTTTGGTTAGTACAAATGCACAGAGTTTTTTTTTTGGTTAATATAAAAATACAGGGTCAGGTTTTTTTATGTTCTGGTTAGTAGCAGAGTCAGTTTTTTTAAATATTTTGATTAACTTTGTTTTGTACTAACTAAGCAAAACTACAGGGTGAGTTTTTTTATGTTTTGGTTAGTACAAAAGTGCAGAGCGGGCTTTTTTTGTTTTGGATATTTTTTGATAGTACAAAAGTACAGGGTCAGTTTTTTTTAAGTTTTGGTTAGTCTTGATTAGTACAAAATGTTACCCTATAACGTTTTTTATGTTTTGGTTGCTACAAAAGTAAATTGTGAGTTTTTTATCGTCTTATGGTTTGTTTTGGTTAGTACAAAATTGCAGGCTGAGTTTTATTTGGTTAGTTTGGGTTAGTTTTACTTAGTACAAAAGTATAGGGTGAGTTCTTTTTTTTGTTTTGGTTAGTACAAAAGTACAGGATGCGTTTTCTTTTGTTTTGGGCCAGTTTGAGTTAGTTTTGGTTAGTACAAATGCACAGCGTGAGTTTTTTTTTGGTTAATATAAAAATACAGGGTCAGGTTTTTTTATGTTTTGGTTAGTAGCAGAGTCAGTTTTTTTAAATATTTTGATTAACTTTGTTTTGTACTAACTAACCAAAACTACAGGGTGAGTTTTTTTATGTTTTGGTTAGTTTTGTTTAGTACAAAAGTGCAGGGTGAGGTTTTTTATGTTTTGGTTAGTACAAAAGTGCAGGGCAGGCCTTTTTTGTTTTGGATATTTTTTGATAGTACAAAAGTACAGGGTCAGTTTTTTTTTAGTTTTGGTTAATCTTGATTAGTACAAAACGTTACCCTATAACGTTTTTTATGTTTTGGTTGCTACAAAAGTAAATTGTGAGTTTTTTATCGTCTTATGGTTTGTTTTGGTTAGTACAAAATTGCAGGCTGAGTTTTATTTGGTTAGTTTGGGTTAGTTTTACTTAGTACAAAAGTATAGGGTGAGTTCTTTTTTTTGTTTTGGTTAGTACAAAAGTACAGGATGCGTTTTCTTTTGTTTTGGGCCAGTTTGAGTTAGTTTTGGTTAGTACAAATGCACAGCGTGAGTTTTTTTTTGGTTAATATAAAAATACAGGGTCAGGTTTTTTTATGTTTTGGTTAGTAGCAGAGTCAGTTTTTTTAAATATTTTGATTAACTTTGTTTTGTACTAACTAACCAAAACTACAGGGTGAGTTTTTTTATGTTTTGGTTAGTTTTGTTTAGTACAAAAGTGCAGGGTGAGGTTTTTTATGTTTTGGTTAGTACAAAAGTGCAGGGCAGGCCTTTTTTGTTTTGGATATTTTTTGATAGTACAAAAGTACAGGGTCAGTTTTTTTTTAGTTTTGGTTAATCTTGATTAGTACAAAACGTTACCCTATAACGTTTTTTATGTTTTGGTTGCTACAAAAGTAAATTGTGAGTTTTTTATCGTGTTATGGTTTGTTTTGGTTAGTACATAATTGCAGGCTGAGTTTTATTTGGTTAGTTTGGGTTAGTTTTATTTAGTACAAAAGTATAGGGTGAGTTCTTCTTTTTGTTTTGGTTAGTACAAAAGTAGAGGATGCGTTTTCTTTTGTTTTGGGCCAGTTTGAGTTAGTTTTGGTTAGTACAAATGCACAGAGTTTTTTTTTTGGTTAATATAAAAATACAGGGTCAGGTTTTTTTATGTTCTGGTTAGTAGCAGAGTCAGTTTTTTTAAATATTTTGATTAACTTTGTTTTGTACTAACTAAGCAAAACTACAGGGTGAGTTTTTTTATGTTTTGGTTAGTACAAAAGTGCAGAGCGGGCTTTTTTTGTTTTGGATATTTTTTGATAGTACAAAAGTACAGGGTCAGTTTTTTTTAAGTTTTGGTTAGTCTTGATTAGTACAAAATGTTACCCTATAACGTTTTTTATGTTTTGGTTGCTACAAAAGTAAATTGTGAGTTTTTTATCGTCTTATGGTTTGTTTTGGTTAGTACAAAATTGCAGGCTGAGTTTTATTTGGTTAGTTTGGGTTAGTTTTACTTAGTACAAAAGTATAGGGTGAGTTCTTTTTTTTGTTTTGGTTAGTACAAAAGTACAGGATGCGTTTTCTTTTGTTTTGGGCCAGTTTGAGTTAGTTTTGGTTAGTACAAATGCACAGCGTGAGTTTTTTTTTGGTTAATATAAAAATACAGGGTCAGGTTTTTTTATGTTTTGGTTAGTAGCAGAGTCAGTTTTTTTAAATATTTTGACTAACTTTGTTTTGTACTAACTAACCAAAACTACAGGGTGAGTTTTTTTATGTTTTGGTTAGTTTTGTTTAGTACAAAAGTGCAGGGTGAGGTTTTTTATGTTTTGGTTAGTACAAAAGTGCAGGGCAGGCTTTTTTTGTTTTGGATATTTTTTGATAGTACAAAAGTACAGGGTCAGTATTCTTTTAGTTTTGGTTAGTCTTGATTAGTACAAAACGTTACCCTATAACGTTTTTTATGTTTTGGTTGCTACAAAAGTAAATTGTGAGTTTTTTATCGTGTTATGGTTTGTTTTGGTTAGTACAAAATTGCAGGCTGAGTTTTATTTGGTTAGTTTGGGTTAGTTTTACTTAGTACAAAAGTATAGGGTGAGTTCTTCTTTTTGTTTTGGTTAGTACAAAAGTACAGGATGCGTTTTCTTTTGTTCTGGGCCAGTTTGGGTTAGTTTTGGTTAGTACAAATGCACAGAGTTTTTTTTTGGTTAATATAAAAATACAGGGTCAGGTTTTTTTATGTTTTGGTTAGTAGCAGAGTCAGTTTTTTTTAAATATTTTGATTAACTTTGTTTTGTACTAACTAATCAAAACTACAGGGTGAGTTTTTTTACGTTTTGGTTAGTTTCGTTTAGTACAAAAGTGCAGGGTGAGGTTTTTTATGTTTTGGTTAGTACAAAAATACATTGGGAGTTTTTTTACACTGTGGTAGATATTTTTGATGTATGGTCACCAAAAAATAAAAAACCTTTTCGATTTATTAGGGATAAAATTTCTTAACACTTTGGTGTTTTATCATTCCCTGCTACAATTAAAATGTATTTTTTAATAAAATAAAACGACGATTTGTTTTTTTATATAAAACATTTATTATAATCTATATAACACGTTAACCACGACAAATATAAAACATACAAATATAAATATATACACTTATATAAACACCGATTTAAAATATATACAAATCCGATTAAATGCTGCCACGCACGTACAGGGCATTTATTAATTCAGCGCCGAAACGTAAGAGCGTAAAACGTAACACGTAAACATAACACAATCCAACTTTTCTTTTTAGAGAGACTGATGGATTCACCTGGGGCACTCATTTAATAAACACCCCTTACAACGTATGTTTTTATTACGCATCGATATATAATACTTATGAAATACAGAGTGTCCCAAACTCAATCGCCGACTCAATTCATGTCATCGCAGGCGTTAAAATAAAGTCGGAAATCGCGTTTCACGAGCCCAAATAAAAGGTTTCGAAGAACCGTTGAGTTTTGGGACGCCCTTGTCACAACGGAGAACACGACGACGTTAGGATAATTCAAGATTATTACCACAAAAATAGAGTATATTATGATTTCTGGAAGGCAAATCGTGTAGAGCTTAACCATTACGGTCACATTTTAAACACGAAGTATCGTTCGATGGGAATACTTTTGACGTGATGTTACGTAAAAAAAGCACCGCTAGAATCTTCTTATCTGTGACCTAGCGTAGGCACTGAGTCGTGGTCTGTGGCTAACCAAAAAGTGACGTCCGTAATATTACGAGACAACGCGTTTTTACCGATTTAAAGTGTCCGCGAACCATTGAACTAAATAAACACATTGGAACTGCCGCTGATTATTCATAATAACGCAAGATCAGGAGAACATTGGAAATCCCACGTAAATTTTTAAATGACCAGATATCAGCTGTTCACAACCACATAACCCCAAATTGTAAAAAAAATCTTATTTAATGATTGTAATTTAGCGGATATTGAAATCATGGAGTGGACAAGTGGAAAGCGCGAGGCAAGTCATCCATTTAACGTTGAAGAAAATCCTGAAGTAGAAAGCGAAACTATTCCTGTTGAGGGAAATCAGAAAACGTCGGATGACTCCAATAAAAACCTCGATGATTTAATAATAGTATATTATGCAAGAAGTGCGGTAAACGGCATTTGAGTGTTTAATAAACGAGTGAGTTAAAAAGTTTACCGAACGTGATGCATACTATACTTTTTCTACGATCTTTAGTAATTGCGTATACTTTCGCAAAACCTAAAAAGTATTGTAAAATATTTCCTCTTTTGATTAATAAGTCATATTATTATAATTATTATATAACATTTGGGCCCATTTAAAACTATATGTTAAGAGGGCAAGAGTATTTGTTATTGTTTTTTTACTTCAATAGTTTTTTATTTGTTTTATTTATGTTCCACTTGATTTAAAAATTATTTTTCAAAATAAATAAAATCTGTGAAATTTTCTGTTTCCAAATGAAAAAAGGAATCACCTCTTTAAGATTTTCGCGTTTGTTTCGACACACCCTGTATAACAAACTTTATTCAGATATTTAGAAGCGATCTTTATTTTATTTTTATTTTGCCTGTTGTCGCCTTTTATATTCTGGAAGCAGTTTAATTACGTTCCTGTAAAGTTCTTTCCAATCTTCCCTTTCCTAATTACCTAATTCCTATTACAGCTCTCGTTTTCTCTATGAGGTTGGCGATTGTAAAAAAACCGGGTTGCATTTGGATATAATGCAGCCATATTAAATTACCGGAAGCGATTTACTGTAAAAAAAATTCTTCGTATTATTTATACTGAGAAACCGCAGATACAGGGTGTTGTTCGCCAAAACATATGGTTATGTGACGCTAGCGAAGTGAATTTGAAAAAACAAAGCAATTTAGGTGGGTGGTGCTCCATTTTATCATAACATTGTACGAATTTGGCACGACTACTTTAGTAGGTTCCGCTCCCGTAACGTAGACGTTATAAGTAAGACGTATACGTTACTTTTGTGTGTCGTCGAATTTTACTTCCCTAGTCGTCCGCCGGAGGGAGCGGCTACGTTGGGGCGTGACGTGATCCTCCGGAATGCGTGGGCCGTTTTGCGAGAGGAAGGGCGACGTAGTCGGAAACTGGGAGGCCACTACCGGCATCCAACACTGTTGGGACTGCTGTAGCTTGCCCGTCGAACCTAGTCAAATTTTTCGAAAAAGTATTTTTGAAATTTTTTTAGATAGTTAAATTATGCTACCCATAGGTATTTTTCAAAAGTTAATTTCAATGGTCTCAATACGTTGATTGTGATTGAAAAAAAAAACAGGCAATAAAGGAGAAACGAGATATTTTCTATGAATTTGAAAGGCTGAAAAGGCAAAAACGAGAACAAAAAAAGACAACATTAAAAAAAACGAAGAAAATGATAACAAATAAGATGCGCAAAGCAAAAACATTAAGGCAACCGCAAATTGCAAGATAATTTTTACGAATTTTTTGGGCGCAAAAGGCGAAAAAAAGCTGAAAAGACGTGAGCGTGAGGCAAAATTTAAAAAGGAACAGAGAAAATTATTATATAAGATTTTTTGCTAATTTATTGGTTATTAACCGAAAAGGGATAAACGGACAAAAAAAGTGGAAAATTTAAAAAAAGAACAAAGAAAATAATTCGAAATAAGATGTAAAAACAAGAAAGATTATTATAAAAGAAAGTTACAAGATATTTTGTACTAATACGGCGGATATCAAAGGCGATAAGAAGCTGAAAACGCTTAAACGCGGAAAAAAGAGGCAAATTTAAGAAAGGAACGAAGGAAATGACTATAGATAAGGTGTAAAACGAAAATTGCAAGATATTTTCTGTTAATTTGTTGGAAATCAAAGGCGGAAAGAAGCTGAAAGGGTTTAAACGCGGAAAAAATAGGCAAATTTTAAGAAGGAACGTTCAATGGAATGAAAGGAATTAAGTACGAAACTATCAGTTTTCCCTGTAAATATAGAAGTATATTATGCTAGAGGATATGTTGGAGAAGCAATGGACCTGACAATAGGTCGAAGGGATACAGCAGGACGAACCCAGAAGATTTATAAATAGTATTGTTACCGAATACATAACCTTCGTTAATTTTATTTTACAAATTTCCCGAACAGGCATTCCTTCATTTTAAAGACAAGTAAGTTAAGTAAGCAAATGCAAAGTCATTTACTCAGCGCACTCACCGTCCAGACTGTTGCACGGGTTCGACCTCATCGAGGTCCTGTAGGCTTGCGACCTCACGAGGCCGGTGGTGCCGGTGTTGACCGCGTCCATCGACATGCTCCTCGTGTGAGCTTTAGCCCATAGCTCGCCCCGCTTCTCTCTGTTCCGCTCGTCGCTCAGACCGCTCAGGTGCTCGTTGAGCGCGTACAGTTTCTGAGTGATGTCCTTGCCTGGACACGCGAGTCATTCAGACCTTGCGGCTATGCCGCGGAGTCGATTGTTTTACCTATGATCGAGTCCATGACCGTTTTGAGCATGGGTCTGTGTCTCAGCACCCGTTCGAGTTTCATTCGGGACCAGCAGAGGTAAGCGCTGTCCTCCTCTGCGGTGATGGTCACCTGGAAGACGTCGTCAGACTGTTCGTGGTTCGCCTCCCATTCCGGCGAGTCCACGAACTGATGCTGATTGATGAAGTGTAGATGGGTGTCGTCGCAGGTCACTCGAAGCCTAAACAGCCAGGTATACGTATCAGACCATCCACCATACATGGTGTCAAAGTAATATTTGTGTGCTCAGCGATATTCTACTACCAAAAAAAAAAAAAGGAACAAAGAATTTGCATAAAATTTCTGAATCTACTTTGAGCAAAAAAAAAGTTTGTAAGTGGTACAAGCTGTTCCAAGATGGCCGAGAAGACGCAAATAGTGTCGAAAAATCGTTGAATCACTATTAAAGAAGTGACTGAAGATGTCGGCGTGTCTATTGACTCGTGCCATGCAATTTTTTTCCGAAGTTTTGAGTATGTTCGGAAACTGCTGAATTTTGAACAAATGGACCGTCGAAAAAATTGTCAAACGACATCAAGGATGATCCTGATATCATGGGTATATGGATCAAAGCCCAGTCGTCCCAATGGAAGAACCCAGAATCACCAAAACCGAAAAAAGCACGTCAACTATTATTTTATGTATTAAAAGAAAAATTGAAATATTGGTTCAGGTATGTACTGAGTATTCCTACTTGTCCAATCTGTGATATTTTTCAACTAGAAATATTTTTCCTTTCATATTTACTTCCACGCATTATATAACCAAGATAGGCTGTTTTGGTACTGGGTGTATATGACACTTCAAATGGCAGATGAAATGGAAAAGTTCACCATAGGCCGTAGACTATTATTGGTATTGATATAATAGGCAAACGGCCGTATCGTGAAACACGGGTAGACAGATAGAGATGACCAATAGGTAAAAAAAAGAAAGTAAAAAGTTTGAAATACTTGGGAGCCGTAATAACAGAAGACAATGATTCCAAAAATGCCAAAAAGACAAGGCCATGCGCACCAAACCCCTATCGGATAAAGGCTAGCGAACATAAACTTTATTTTATGACTCGAAGCAGAAGAAGCAATAATCGCCACGAATTGTATAAATATATAGTCCAAAAATTAAGCCCGACTAAAAATCCACATGCTGAAAGTAAAATGTCACCCGGTGGCAGGTGAACATAAGAAACCTACTACTTAGTTTCGTTTGCAATCGATATTTTGTTGCGGTTGCAGTGAGACGTCGGTGTTTGTAACCAATTTTACACCTTACAATCTAATCGGCTCATTAAGGCTCGCGTTTAATTTTTAAAAAATGCTGAGTTCTTATTTCTGGTTAGATTTGTGTGGTAAATTGTGACTCACCTTCCTCTGAGCAGCACCGACAGTCTCTCGTCTGCGGGGCTGATATCCTCTACAGCGTAGATGTCGCCACTCTCTAGGGTCATCACTTTAGCCTCCTTAACCAACTCCTTGAAGTGTTTCTTGCTGATCCTTAGCGGTTTAAATATCTGCAACATGCGAGTGTAATTACCCGGCGCATCCGCCAATTCATCGGCGATTTATGAAAAAAACGTATTAGTGCATTGAACTTTAATAAATTTATGAAAAAAAAAAAAGAAAACCGCAAATCACATGTTGCCAAAAAAAATCGCTTCGTTTATTATATAAAGATGATAACGAATCCTCAAAAATCTAACATAATTTTAATAATACATTGTGATTTCACTGTCACAGATAACAGAAATTTCAGATATTACACGTGTCTGAATTTTTTTAAACAAATCCTTTTGAGAAAAATCCACAAAACCGAAATTTGGATTTTTAACCGCGAATAGAGACCACAATTTTTGTTACTTTTTGTTACCTCTTTAATTTTTAATTTGACATCTATAAATTTAAAATCCGATTCCATCAGATGCCAAAATTACGTAAAAACTTCAAGACTTTCCCTAAACATGTTACGGAAATAGTAATAAAAAGCCATTTTTACGTTGGTTCTGTTTATAATTTTCGATACCTTAACCGATCTCAAGCTTCCGTTTCTATTAAAATGCAAATGAAATTCCTACTCACTTTACCCATCATCTAAATTCTATCGATCGTCACTCTAAGCCTTTAGTAGTTATCACCGAAAAATTCTTTTCATTATCTTTCTTCAATTCTACATTGTGGTACTTATTTACAGCACAGGTAGATTATTGCATTCGATAAGCCAAAACCTTTTATTTGCGAATGCACTATACCTCCACTGCTATCTTCAAAACGGTATAGAACGGTTGTCTTATAAACCGTTCTATACCGTTTTTTGTTCAAAAAAATCGTTCAAACAGACTTACGAGTGTTCTAGAAATCAATAAATTATTTTGAGTAATTTTTAAGGGAAAAAGGGTATTTTTAGACGATCTAAGGAACTTTCACGTCCACCTGTCTACATGCTACATGCTACGTCCTTTGCGGAAATCGCGTGAACTCGGTCGAATTATAACTCTCTCGCGTGTTTCTCGAATATGCAATGTTTTCGCGCCTAAACTTTCGGTCGATGCGGTTTCAGAACCTTTTCTTTTCCACACAATTTTCCTTATCACTATAACATTAGTGTTTGCTTAGTAGAGTCTTAAATCCCCAGTAGTTTGCCATAAATCTTAATAAATCCCCACAAACCTCCATAAATCGGCGGAAATTTGAATCTGAACTTAGTTCCTAGGAGGCTTACAGGGGGCGCAGCTATCATGTAGGAACAAGAAAACCTAGATTTGTTGAGAGAAAAAAATTCACAACATTAATTTTTAATAAATATTTGGTCTGGCATTATGAAAGATTTTAAAATTGATCCACATGAACGCTATGCAGTTCTTGCAAGTAAGCAGCTTATAGCCTGGATTTCAACCTCACGGATTTCTATAGATCATCTGAAGGGCTTAGTTTATCTGGAAGAAATCACATCAAGTGAGGATATTTTGAATATTTATGAAAAGGCGGGAGGTACCTTGTTATACCTTGTATTCTTAATGGTTTGTACCGTTATTTGTTAAATTGAAATATGAAACCAAAACTTCAAGAAATAACGAATATTTCCAACAAACAACCAAATACATGGAACATAAAATAAAAAATTAAACAATTTAAATTACAATCAAACATCAGTAGTCCCTGTTTTACCGTTCATTTTGTTTTTTGAATAATTTTTTCTGTCGACGAAATAAAATGTTTAAATTATCAAAAACATTTTAAGTAGGTTTTTTACAAAACTTCTGGATTCCTCCTGCGTCGGTTTTTGCTTAGTCGAAATTGCTGACGTTTCGCCAATTATCCTGTTGGCTTCTTCAAAGCTTGACTGAAACTGCATTACTAAATCATTTGTACACTTTTAGAGGAGTTATTTTTTTATGTTTCTTTTATTTTATTTCTCTTCCTTTCTGTATTCTATGTTTCATGTCAATGTCAATTATTTTGAAATGTCACAGAACTTTGGGTGTAATATTTCATTAAGAAAAAGTATTGTTTTATAATAATAATAATAATAATAATATAATAAGCATTAATATTTCTTTGTGTATGGGTTTGATAATAATAATAATATTTATTTTCCCAAAGAAAACTACAAAATTGTATAGGACAAAGAAAAAATTAATCGTTTTTTAAATAGACAAGTTTTCAAACGTTAACTCCAAGGACAGATTGTTAAAAATACGAAGACTCAAATATTCAACTGACCTACAGTAGGTAATTGCAATTTACCGCTGTCTTGTATGCTTAGAATGTTCTTTGGCAACTCACTTAAAATTCCATAAATTGTTAAACCAGCTTCTCCCTGGAAATGATATGTATATACTTTTTTGAGCTCCGCAAATTGATCCCATAATGTAATCGAGACTCCATCTTCTTGCGCAACTGTTGTCTAGTTAAAATCTGACGACAATTTATAAAAAAGATAGTTTATACTATGTAGACTTTCAGACATTCATCCAAACTCAGTCCTAGAAACCTCACCGTATGCCTACTTGAGATAGTGTCATTGCCTAAGCAGATACTAGAATTATCACATTGTTTTGTATGTATGAAACCATATAGTTTGGGTTTTGCATGCATTGAAATACAGAATATTTTTTCCAAACCATGCCACTAAACTATCGAGTACCCTGCAGCGCTTCTCTAAGAGGTCACACCATCCGAATGCATCACAAAACCGTTTCAGGTAAAATTTTTAACGTACCTTAATGTAAAGTTCGGTCAGTTCGGGCGTGAGGGTGGGGGGAAGAAACCTCCACGTCAGTAAGGCAGTGTGGACGCAGTTCAGCAGCACTATGATCGAGTTCCACAGCAGGATGTCAGGGGCGCAGATCTTGACCCCGCCCCAAACCGCCAGGAAAAAATAGCCGAACGATAGTAACGCTCTGTAAAAAAATGGCGTAAAAATTATTACATTTATACATATATACCAAACGGGCGGGACCCACCTAACTAGGAGAACGCTCTGTTTGAAGCTACCGGGCACTAGGAACGCGGCGGCGAAGAAAAAATTCGCTGTCTGGAAGAGACTGTGCTGGGCTTCCTTCCACTCCTTGCACATCACCCACGACGTGTCGTCGATGGTGCCTGCGAAAAAAAACTACGTTTAACTGCGCCGCGTTCTATACAAGCGGTGCACCGCTCCCCGCTCGGTCAGTCGGTCGAAAAGAGAAACCGGATCGCGTGGTGTCACATGGCGTCCCCCATACGTAATGGTACAAGGCAAAATAAAATCCTCCGTCGAAGTCGAAGTTAGAAAAATTTGTATGCAGATTTTTAATGAAGACATCACTTCTTATATCTTTTTTACACAAAAAGGTGTCGCCTTTTTCAAGAAGTTTAAATTTGAAATCTTCAGTATAATCTGTCTCAATCTTCATCGTGCTGGCTGTATAACTTGGGTCGGTAGATATTAAAGAACAGAACATTAGGGACGTACTCTCAAAGGTTTCGGTGATAAGGAATTTTTCTTTTTTTATTTAGGTGGGTGTTAAATTAAATTACACTAATATATACAATAAATTCATAGCTAGGAGTACCTATACATAATTATATTTTTATTCTAAATGTCTAAATCTAATTCTATTTTTTTATCAGAGTCGTCATTGAGATTAATTATAATAAGATTTATGTTGTTTTGTATAGAAATGTAAGAGTCTGCATCTTTCCAGTTCTCATTTGGTATTAATTACATTTCTATATGCCAGAGTCAACGTTAAGCCCAACGTTGGATACCGCGAAAGGTCACAGTTTTACGGCCAGCTGGAAAATTATCTCGTTTATATGGCTAGGAATTTTCCGATAAATCGCCATCGCAGAAACTATTAACCGTGCCGCACAAAGGTGTTACTTTGCCGCGTCGGTCGCGGAACGCCTCTATTTGCACAATTATCGGCCAATTACTTTCGCCCCCATAATGCCTACATACAGGGTGTCAAAACGTAGATGTGGAATGGAAAATATTTTCACGTAAATGTCTAATGTGTCTTTTTTTTATCACGGAACCTCTGCCATTTTGCAAAAAAATATATTTTAGAGAATTTTATGCGCGATTAAACTACTTGAGTTGATGCGGTTAGTCGGCATTTCAAACATTGGAGATAAATGAAGAAATTTTAAAACATTTTATCTTTTTTTTTTTAATTGAATGCCCACTTCAAATGCCTCATTCCATTAAAATCCAGTTCCACGTGCTGCTGAATACAATAAAATAAAATTAAAATGCTAAGTATTATTTTATTTTAGAAATACTTAATTCATCAGTAAAAGCGAATAATTATTATTATTTTGTTAAATATTCCTGGATTAAACAAAGATCGTGATTTCTAACTTAGAAAATGGATTAAATGTTCAATATATAATCCCCTTCCCAATCCACTGCAAAAAGCGTACATACAACATGTTTTTAAAACAACAAATTCATCAATAACTAATTAGAAAAGCATTTCTGTAATCAATATTCGGCAAAACAACTAAGCAGTTTCCCTGAGAAATTTTTAAAAATGAAAACCCGTCGACAAATACATGCGTTCTATTTCGTTTTATATCTGTCATAGTTTTCGAAATATTTGAATTTTTGTTTGACTCTTTAAAAAAGTAGGAAAAAATATATGTAGTTTATCAATAAATTATATTTTTCGGAAGATTTTTTTTGGACTCGTCAAAATTGAATTTTTCTAGTCTAGAACAGTAGAAAACATAGACATCATTTGAACGTTCCCGGATTTAACAAAACCAACAGAACGAGGAAAAAATTAATTAAATAAGGGAAATATTTATTATTACAAATTTATGAATATAACACATTTTTCTATGGTTTATGGTATATTTTTATCACTGTTTTAATGCATTAATATAAAGATATATTTGCAATTTGACACCGGTATATAGTCGACACTATGCAGGGTCTCTCAACAACACATGGTGTTTCTCGATTTTTAAGTCTGTTAAAAAACGTGGTTGAATAGAATCGAATCAAAAAGCAATGATTTTACTATTTTTCTTCAACACTCACAATATTAAACAATTAATTATAATAGCGCTATATTTTTTGCAAAGGACTCAAAAAAGCGCACATATAACAAATTCTAATAACTAATCGGAAGATTGTTTCACAAATCAAAATTTGGCAAAACAACAAGACAAAAATGCTGTTCAATTTTTTAAAACACCCGACCCCCTCTGGAATATTTTATTTTTTTAAATAAAATGCATAATTTTCGATATAAACAAATCTATATGTCACAACTTTCGAAATATTTGCATTTTTTTTTACTCTTCAAAACTGAATTTTTATTCCGCTATATTTCTTTATTTTCTAATCGGAAATAGTAGAAAATATTTAAGTTATAGGGACGTTCCTGGATTAGACAAATTATTTCTAACAGAAACCGAAAAAAAATGGATTAAATAAGGGAAATGATTATTATAACATATTTGTATATTTTTTATAATATAATTTTATAACTGTTTTAATGCCTATTACAATTTGACAATTTTTGCCATTTTTTATGGCAATTGTCATTTGCCATAAAAATGGCTCATGACAAAAGACGTTTTAAGGGTTATAATAGTAGTAGGAATGTCTAACTTCTACATCCACCGTCTTAAGATTACTAATTCGCTAACCAAAGAATTTGAATTTAGGTTTGCTACTCATCAAAAATGACAGCACCGCTGACAATTTACGGTATATGGCCCATATTATACAGGGTGTCTTAACAATACATGGTGTCTCGATTTAAAAAAAAAATAAAACGCGTAGGAACCTGTTACCATTATTAACCCGACATTATACCCCTTGTAACGTGGGAAGCTGTATAAATATCAAGCTTACCATTCATCATCTGATAGTCATAGTCGATCAGATCGGAACTGTTCGACACGTTGTAGTAGAAGTCGCTAGCGTTCCAGTGCACCAGGTTCTCCAGATACGTGTAGTTGGATTTTGTAACGTTGACCTTGGTGCGGTTCAGTTCGAGGTACATGTCGTTGCGGTTGCCTTGCGTGGTCGTTTTGGCGATTGAAAGGTTCGTTTTCGCGAGATGCGTAGGAGTTTGCGTGATCACAGGTATTTCCATAGTTACCTTACTGAAAAACGACTTTGATTCAACCTCAAAACTACTTTTCCTCATAGAATTAATTCACGTAGGTGGTTGGCAGAGAAGAAAGGTAAGAAAATTTTCAGTTACTTTATTGCTTCGGTTGCCAGTTCTGACGTAGAACTTTCTACTGTTATATTTTGGCTAAATAAATACAAGTTTGAAGTTTTGCACAGTCAAACATGTTGACCAATTACGTTTTTTAAGATACTCAACTGGAATTTTAAATTTAAACGCGACTTACTGCCTAGTCTTTCCATTATTTTGGTCAATATCAACGCAACACATGTCTGGTGTGAGATTTTGAGAGACCAAATTATACCTAGATCCTTTATTCTTTAAAGAATCAAATGTTACTAGTTTAGTTATTAGAGTTCCTAGTTTTTTATCATACAATTACACGATGATAGAGAACGCACAGATCAATTTTATGTAGTTAGTATTTTCAACTTTTTAAATAGTGGCTTACGGTGATCCTCACTTTCTACACCACACAAAGTGCGAACAGTTTTTTTTCTGAATTTTAGAAATTGATTTCTTTCGTTTTTTGGTACCTATATTAGTGTTTATTAGTTTTATATTTTTATATAAAATATGTTATGATTTTTTTGTGCTTTTTCATAGCATACTTCCGCTTGCACTCGTTTTCTGGTCCCTAGAGGGTACTTTATAACCGTAGTTCACCGTGTTTAGCAAAAATTACTTTTTTTCTTTAACTATTTTTAAAATAAATGTATTTTTCGTAACCTAGCGCGTCTCTTCACCCTAGGAAAACGGAGCAGTTGTATTTTTTTATTTTTAATTAACCCATCACAACCATTTAAAATAGGTTTCTTTTTTTATTTTTTCTACCCCCCTCCGAATTTTCACGTGCTCGAACGACGGCCGTAAACAAAAAGCCATGCATCTCGAATAATAACAAAAACGAACCATGCCGTCTCGTATACTCACAAAATACATTATATATCGCACATGGTAGCATTGAGGGGGGGCGGACTTTGCGACCGTGTGGACCTGCTAAACGCGACGCTGACGTGTGTGCCAGTGCGTCCGTGTTTTGAAATCGTCTTTACTACAAATCCCTACGAGGCGACGTCTAAAGCGCCCAGAGTCGTCGAAGGGGGTGGAGCGGGGCGCGGAAATCGGCGCGAAGTTGCCACGTGATGCTCATTGTCGACGTCCTCTCACGTGACGTGACGTCAGCGCTCGTATTTATTAGACATTAATCATTATTTTTTCAGAAGATTGAATCCCAGCATAAGTCTAAACAAGCAACCAATTAAAAATTTATTAATAGAATGAAATACGGTTTATATGATTCTAGCTTTTCTATTGTCCCTCATCTGTCTATAATTATAATAATGATATAATAATAAACAATTATCATAGTTTTTTTTTTATTCCTCAACCTTGAAATACATACAATATTTGAGTTGTTCTTGGGTTGAAGTTGTTCGATAACAGCAAAATTCACAATGTGGTTCTTTATCGGGAATCTTAAGTACATACTAATATCATATAAGTTAAAAAATATTTACATACTTATATGAAATATTTTGACACTAAATTATGTTATAATTTAAATATTAACAAATAATAAATAATTTTCCCGTATTCAAAAAATAGTAAATTATATATACCTGGTATCCCAGGCTAAAAATGAAACTTTTTTCCATAAACATATGTTATATTAATAAAAAATGTTTTGTTTGTTTTTGGTAACCTAGTATAATACACTTTTTTACACGTACACGTATTATTTAAAAATGAAAAAATAAACAGTATTTTCGCAGTTTTCGCAAAAATCTAATCCATTAAATAAATAAATATGAAATAAATAAATCTAGTTAAAATATACATTTCCTGCATTTTAAAAACGGTTGTTAATGTCTTGTTGTGCCTAATTTTATAAATAAAACATTAATCTGTTATTTACATCCTTATTATTTCTTTAAAAGGGGTATTATTTAGAAATGAGAAATTAAACAGTTTTTTCGCATTTTTTTGCATTTTGATCTAGTTTTCGCAAGAACGTATAAAGGAAGACAAAAATCGTGGTTTATATTAACCCTGCTTTTGTAATGCAAAAATGTACGTACCACAGCGAGTTGCCTGATTAACGAAAAGCGGCAACGTCGCGACGAGCGACTCTGTGTCCCGTAGGCGTCGTTTTCCGCCGACGCACGCCGCGTATCGCGACGCCACGCCCCGATTGGCAACCGTCCGTCGCGTTTCTCGCCGTTTTTCCATATCGGTTTTCCGATCACGATTCCGTTCGGTCGACTGCGCCATTGTATTTCCACAGGGTCGATATCGGGCGAATAACTGAGCCGGACACACAGGCGCGCGCGAACTTCCCGGAATTCCCTTTAATCCCGGACGACTCATACAAGGTGTTTACGATTTTTAAGGCGACCGAGCTTGGCTTTTTTTTACACAAACAACGATAAGTGAGCAGGTGTATTATCGTAATGCAAAATCCATAACTTCAAGGTAATGCTCTTTATTGACCGTAAGACCTTGTGGTAAGAACTCTTGATGAACTACGCCACGATAAACAAAGGAAACAGTAAGCAAGACTTCGACATTTAATCGAACTTGACGCACTTATTTCGGTCTTGGCGATTCTGGGTTCTTCCATGACCTTTTGGAACATATCAGGATCATCATTGACGCCATTTGACAGCTCTTGAGCGATGCTCTTTTGATGGTGCTTTTGTTTAAAATTTAGCAGTTTCGAAACAAATTTAGCGGCTACACGTTTCATGTCCCAAGCTTTGGAAAAAATTGCAGGCCACTAGCCAATAGAGACGCCGAATTCTTGTATTTGTATAGGAATAGTCAAAATACATAATATGTACAATACGCATAGACACAAAAAAACATTTACTCAAAAAAATTCGTTCAGATTATAAAATGTTTTGGAAAACAAAAATATTTTTATTCGTTTTTTGAATAGACCAAGTTTTAAACTTTTGTCTCTTAATTCCAAAGGTTAAAAATACGAACACCCAAATAATCAGGTGACCTCGAAGTCATCGACAGCCTACAGTACAGAACACGTATACTTAGAATGTACGTCACCAACTAACTTAAAATTCCATAAATTGTTGAACACATACAATGACATTTCAAAAATCAAAAGACTCACTGTGAAATGTTGAAACAAGAGTATCACAATGAGAACTCCAGTTTACACATTCATTCAAACTCAATCCTAGAAACTTCACAGTATCCCTACTTACGATAGTGTCATTACCAGGTAAACAGATATTAAAATTATCACATTGTTTCTGATAAATGTGAAACCTCAGAGTCAGTTCATCAACAACCGTCGCAAATTTTTTGTTTGTGTAATCCGGTGAAAAGTAACGGCGACTACCCATGATCAATAACTATATTTACAAGATACACTACAGCACCAATACTGAATAATTTAAAACGCAAATTATAAAAAGCTTCCAGTTCTTTATCACAAAAAAAAACAAGCATTCCTTTATATTAGTTAAACATGGTAAACAGGCTCTTAATGTATGGAAATTAATACTTCAAGCATTGATACTGCATAATTTTTTCCGCCACTGTACCTGCTAGCGTGAAAAACTCTGTTTTTTTTTGTTTTCGAAAACTATTCAATTTTTCTTTTCATTCTTTCATGATTACAGGTTGGTTAGTTGGTTTAAACAACTGATAAAAATCCCATCTCTTTCCGGTCCGTGTAAAACAAGACGCCGCTATTAAAAAATTCATATTTCCCTGTTAGGGCTCGCGTGTAAATCAAAACAGTCGACACAAAGCCACCGATCGAGATGGCGCCTAATTCGATACACGAACTGTTGAAAGAGCAGCTCGTGCAGTTTTGCTTACACACGTCGCTGCACGGTTGGTTGCATACCGTGCTGCCTGAGAAGCGACAACTGGAAAGGTATAAGTTTGGGTTAATTTCTTCAATTGCGCGCAAAGGGACACGCGTTTTTGTAGGTGGACGTGGGTGCTAATATGCTTGACGTCATTATCGACTGCCCTGTGGCTCACTTTGACCGCCTGGTTCAAGTTTCAAGAGAGCCCGACGATCCTGGTGTCCGACTCCAAGCAATACCCGATTTACCATTATCCGTTTCCCGCGGTAACGATATGCGGTTATAATAAAATCTCCAAAAAGCGAGCGTACGCGTTCGCCGAACAAACGTAAGTCAATTTTTATGATATACGATCGTGGGGGAATTGGATATGGGCGAGTGCTCGCGGCGACACTGCCCGCCGGAATGTTGTACTTCTTTTACTTTCGTAAGGCCTTTGCGTTGAGACCATTCGTGGTGTTATTTGTTTTAGACTGCGACGATACAACAAGGTGGATCGAGTAGGCAGTTATTTTTACATTTCCACAGCAGAATTGCACGATATTTAAAATATGTCGTTTTTGTGCTGATATAGTCTGAGTTTTTACATGACCCCGTCCATATTAGAATATAAAAAATTGAGGGAACCCTACATGAAAGAAGTGTGCGGCCCTAACGTGAAAAAGTGTGACGTCTTAATGTCTTAGTAAAAGGGTCTTGGTTAGATTAGTGTTGTGTCAATCGTTCATTTTGCGAGGACCGAATCAATCAGTGACCAATTTCGAAAAGGACCGAATTATTTGAATCAATCGTTCATTTCAATACTTCTTGTTGCCAACATAAGCGGCAATAGTCACTGAATCTAAACAGTCCGAACGACGGGATTTACTTCACTTACTTTACTGTACCTAGAAGTCAGAAAACTCATCTCTAATTAAAACACCCAACTTCTGCTTTTCTTTCTAATACTTTCCACATTAAGAGATATTATTAAGTTCATAAGAAGTATAATGTATGACCAAATTTACTACCTATCCAAAAATCTTTCACGGTGGCAAAGATATCTACTGCGCTGAACGTATTTATGTGTTCATCTGCTGTGATCTGGTAAAAAATGAGACCGCTAAATCTCTAGATGGAAACTGATGAAGCTGTAAATGAAGGTTGTTTCTTCGTTGGGGAGCTTGCCTAAATTGCAATCGAATGTCTGTTGATCTCTTTGTTAAGTTGAAATCACTTAACTCTTTACTATTTGATGATGACCCGCTAGAGATAAGGACGACTCTAGCTACATGTTTAGAAAACTACATGAAGAATAGTGCATGGTAGTGGGTAAAGAAGAACGAAAGGCTTGTTACCAAACTTATGGGTTCCTCCTGCGTCGGTTTTTGTTGAGTCGAACTTGCTAACGTTTCGCCAATCATCCTGTTGGCTTTTTCAGAGCTTGACTGAAACTGGCTCGGATCATACCCGTAAGTAAATAAACTAAATCAATAAGACTCTTCTATCTCTACATCTTGAAATTGCTTCCATCTTGTCCCCATCCGAGTTCGATAACCTTTGAAAAATTGAAAACCAGATTTACCACTTATCCAAAATCATCTTCGATCCGTCACGGACAAAATGTATTGAGAGACCGGTCGTAAAATACCAACTAGGCTCAAAGAACATGAAAAAGTCATAAGACTAAGACAAATAAACTCATCAGGACACCACCAAAAATCCGAGAATCCACATTCACAGAGTATTTCTTTCTTTTGAGCCGATGTTTCTGGTTTTGTTCTTGTAAATGAAGACAATAGAAGAATCATTATCTACCATCTTCAATCAAACACTAGTAGAAAGCTTTTCTTACTAAATACTCTTTTACCTTCCTTTCGGTGGTAGTATATAGTCTGAGGGCAAACTAGTGCGCGCGTGCTCGATTGCCAGATTGCGCGCAATTTCCTGAAATTAAGGAAAACCAGCAAGTTACGTTGCTCTCCCAGCAAATGAATCGTTTTTCAGAGTGGGACAGGCCAACGTCAGTTCGTTCGCGAATGAACTGAGGCTTCTGACCGCCTTGATAACCAACGACGCGCGTGGCGACGACGACGCGAAGCTGCGACGAGCGTTGGACGAGCACGGCCTGTCCGCCGAGAGCGTCCTCGAACGTTTGGCGCCCTCTTGCGGCGACGAGTTGAACCAGTGCGCGTGGAAGAAGGAGGAGCGCAAATGCAGCGACATCTTCGAGCGGATCGCTACTCCAGACGGTTTTTGCTGCTCGTTTAACTATTTCGGTCCGAAGAATCACGTTTTTGGAGGGTAAAGAGGCAAAATTTACTATTTTACCGATTGCCTTTTTATTTTTAAGCCGGGCGTTCTTTGGGGGTAACGAAATCGTCCATTTTAATAGGCAAACAATTAGGTTCTAACCTCTTAAAAAAGTAACCTTTGTTCACTACTATCCAAGCATTGCCTCAACTTTATAATTTGAGGCTGTAGTGTACAGGGTTATTCATTATATTTTGACACCCACCTACAGGGTTAATTTTGAAATATAGAAAAAAAACTGTAAATGCAAAAGTTTGAAGATTTTTGCTCTATTATCTTTTGCAAATGTCAGGAAAAACGAACGTCGATCGCAAGCTGTCACAATGACAGCCACATCTTTTTTTTTTAATGGAACGCCCTATATATTGTTAACTTCTTTCTTCCTGATTATAAAAGCATACAGTTCTTAACATTTCGTTCAGCCGTTTTTGAGATATTTCAGTTTAAAAATAATTATCATTCCATTTCTGGACAATGGCCATATTGTTTAAAAATGGTCAAGTCTACCCCGATAGCAACCATATTATCTATATCTGCAATTGTTTTAACAACAATGTTCTACTTTTGACCACTAATCAAAACTAAAGTTAAGTTAAATAATTTGTTATTTCAAAATGTGCCAGTTAGGAATTTTTTAAATTCAATTTGGCATCAAGATGACGCCCTTCCACATAATGTCCAACCGATTATCTAAATAATAAATTTAGACTTTGGATAGGTAGGCAAGGAACTATCAAATGGCCTGCCAACTGCCCCGACCTGAATCTTTGTGACATTTTTTTTGTCGGGATACTTAAAAAATAAAATATATTATAATAGGCAAGTGATAAGAGAAAGACTAAACACAGAAAACCCTGAGTTGCTGTACTCAGGAAGTACAGCAACTCTTTTCAGAGAAGTCCGGATAGTTCCTCGGGCTCAATGAATTGGGCTTCTAGCACTCCCCTAGTTGTGAACAGCTGGTTAGGAGATGAGTAGGAATTTCCTCTGTACAGATTTGTCACCATTCCATCTCGATCTGGAGCTTGTTGCAAGGTTGCAATGGCGGCTGTGGTTTCATAACTTGGTACTTTGGGGACAGTTTTTATCGTGAATTGAACCCCTTGCTTGTTTTCTTGGAATTTTTCCTCCATCTCTTCTGTTAAAAAAAAGCGAATGTCCTTCTCTAATATTGTACTAGTAGTAGTGTCTTTTTCATTATTGGTTCTTCTTTACATTTTCAATAGAAAATTGTATATTTTTCGTAGTTGTGGGCCTTAATTATTTCTTCCAGGACGTTAGCGAACAAGGCGCCGAAATTGCCCAGGCGGGTGTCCACCTGCGGTTACCAAACCGGCCTGGAAGTTTTTATAAAGAACGACGTAGACGACTATTTGGCAGCGACCACGCCCTCCGTCGGCCAGAAAGTAATTTTTCTCACTTATGACCAGCGAATTCAATTTTTTCGAAATAACTAGTTGAAAGTAGGGTTAGAAACGACACAATGAGACGGGAGGCTTTGCAGGTGGTGATCCACCATCCGCGACAGTATCCGGATCGGTCGTTCCAATTCGTGACGACGTCGGTCGACAAAACATACCTGATCGGGATCCACCCGGACTTAGTGGTGACGTCGGAGAACGTCCGCGACCTGCCGGTAGAGCAAAGACGTTGCGCGTTCGCACGCGAGAGGGACCTGTCGAATTTCGAGCTCTACAGCTACCACAACTGCGCGATAGAGTATAAGATGAACGCGATCTTGGAATATTGCGGATGTCTGCCGTTTTATTACCGCAACCCGAGGGGATCGACGGCGAATTCGAAAATATGCACGCTCGACGACGTCGAATGTTTAAAAAATCGTGAAGGCGAGTGTTAAGTTTTATTTTTCCCGATTCGCCGATTCTATACATTCGCTGCAGATTAACCTGTATATTCTCTTGCAAAAAAAGTATCAATTCAACAGCAAGGCGGCGCTCAGACGCGCCCATTAGGTTTAACATCATTTCGAAAAACACCTTGTACATTTTTTTGAAAAAAAAAATGAATTGGCCATCAGGGCGGGGTCTAGATTCACCCATTAAGTTATGCGGACACATTTCAACAACACCTTGTATATTTTCTTGAAAAAAAAATCCAACATCATAGTCACATCGTATTTAAATTACATTCTGCATATTTTTAATTCAATATCAATTTGGCGCCCAAATTTACCGATTGCGTTTTGCCACGTTAGTTGGATAACACCCTGTTAAAAATTATCAGGAGTATAACATCCTGTATATTTTCTTGAAAATAAAATCAATTCATCAGGGCGGGGTCTAGATTCACGCGTAAATTATGCGACGAATTTCGATAACACCCTGTATATTTGTTTTAAAACCACAATTGATTTGTCATCAGGGCGGGGTCTAGATTCACCCATTAAGTCATTCGATGTCGTTTCGACAATACCTTGTATATTTTCTTGAGAAAAAAAATCAATTTGGAATCAGGGCGTTGTCTAGATCTACCCATTAAGTTATGCGACGTTATTTCGTTAACACCCTGTATATTTTCGTGAAAAAAAAATCAATTGGCCGTCATAGCGGGGTCTAGATTCACCCATTAAGTTAGACGACGTTAATTTCAATAACACCCTGTATATTTTCTTGAAAAAATATACAATTTGGAATCCCCGTATATTTTTTTGAAAAAAAAACTTTTTGGCATCAGGATGGAGTCCAGATTCACCCGTTAAATTATGCGACGTTATTCAAACAAAACAATTCCACGTCATAGTGGGGTCTAGATTTGCCCATTACGTTATCGGATGGCATTTCAATAACACTGTGTATATTTTCTTGAAAAAATAAATAAATTCGTCATCACCCTGTACATTTTCTTGAAAAAAAATATTAGGGCGGGGTCGGTTTAGATTCACCCAATATACGACGTTAATTTCGATGTATATAAAAAAAAAACAATTTGGCATCAAGATAGGGTCCCACATTCACCCGTTAAGATATGCGATGTAATTTCGATAACACTCTGTATATTTTCTTGTAACATGTTCGTGTTATAAAGGATTACTGGCGAATTCCGAGCCGTGGCTGGACTCGGACGGGAACGGGACGTCCGCGAATTATGAGTGTCCGGCGGACTGCGAGACAGCGTGGTATACGTTCGAGACGTCATCCGGCGACCTAGTCGGAACTTACTCGTTCGACGCGCACAGCATTTAGTAACCATTAACCGGAAAAGTTTGACTCTCTCCGACATTTTTGTTTCAGCGGTACCGGATCTTTCAAAAACGGCACCATGCTGAGAGTGTATTTCGCCGACCTGACAGGCACGCGACACAGGAGAGCGGTCATTTTCACGTGGTACACATTGCTAGGTACGTTCCTGACGTGTTTTTCGTAGCTTTCGGTGGTCAATATGTGCTGTTGTTCGCAAATGATTATTTTTGAGGTTGTTCTTCTCCCAACTAGTATATTGTTCTTTGCCATTTCAAACCCATTTTGTCACATCTTGTCTCTGCTGCATAGATTAACATAGGTCTCACTGCGATTTTATATATCCCCAGGCTTCCAGAAATATAACAAGCTTGACCTATTCATTGATTGATTGATCCGTTAGCTTCTTGATTGAAAAGGTGAAGAAGCTGTTTTAAGTGCGATAAGCATAAGCGTCTGCATAGCACATTACAACCTATATTCTAATGTCTTAGAAAGCTTTTGGATGAATGGGCTGATATCTCCTTGCCTACATCCTCTATTAATGTTTAATTCTGTAATTAGTAACTGTCTAACTCGTTTGGGTGTTTGGCATACCCTCAACTAGGAACGTCATTCACTTCACCACTGTCATCAAGAGTGGTTTCATAAGGTCAGGTGTGGTATTTCAGATTAGGCTATCCGTAGCAACTGATTCAAACCAATTTATAACACGATGGTTTCAGGATCTGAGCAAGTGTGTGTTAGACCCCTGATAAGCTTCTAAAAAATATCGTCACCATACAAAGGTTTCTTCATCTACTCGTATACCAGTATCGTAGTCTATACACCATTTTGTCACCAACCTTCTAACACTCACTGCAGCGTCCATGGTCGTTTGCTTTTGATTTGTGTAAATATATTCACATTAAACGGTTGTTTATTACGTTTCAGCCCACTACGGTGGCATTCTCGCCCTGTTCACAGGATTCAGTTTCGTCTCCGTCATCGAGATCGTCTACTTTTTCACCATCAGGCTCCTGATGAATCTCAAGAAGCGCGAAACGCGGGGCTCAAAAGCCGCGCACCGAATACGAGTTTACCCGAAGCACTTACCGATAATCAAGTCGGAAGCCGCGTCGTATGACGGGGACATCAGAAAAAGAACGAAAAGCAAGTAGGGTCGATGTGCGTCACGTTCCGTCATGGGTGGTCGGGAAATAAAACGCTCTGGATTGAAATAAATTAACGTATATATATTTAATGTAGGAGTATGAAATTTCGCATTCGCTAGCAGTTCTAATGGCCGCGCCATAATGTAAGGTTAATCTAATAATCTAAAGGCGACCGGTTATTTTTTGCTCGCCCAGAATGGATCGAGAGAGCTCAAGGGATCGACGTTCGTCGCTTCCTTGTGTTCGCGCTTCGTCGCCGCCGGTTGCTCTTGCTTTGGAGTGATCTCGTTTAGTTTCTTCTTCGCCCGGTCTAAAGGAGTGCAGACACGATATAATAAAAGAAGAAACACAAAAATAATAATTGCTAATTAACCCGTACCTTATTTGTGACCCATAGTTGTGAAACACTTAAAAAGGCCTTGACGTTTGAATAGCCAAGGCACCATAATACAAGCAATAATTTCACAGCAAAATCAGGAAAACGCCAGATGTTAAAAAACACGCAAAAAGTACTTTGAAGGCGTCTAAAAATTCCATTAATTTCACTACAAAATGAACAACCAGAAAGAAACGAGATCGATAATAATCCAATTCTGACTGGACTGTAAAAGAACCGAGTACTACCAATTACTTGTTGAAGAGTATTCGAGTTTCCGTTTCAGTCCCTTAAAAGGCGCCACAAGACAATTCGGAATTGGTGATAGCAAGCCTTTTAAACACTATCTTCTTCTTACAAAGCCTGCGAAAAGGCAAACAAGTATCGAACGATCAATCCCGCACCTGAAACGTGTTCTCAAACGGCATTTTAAAAATTCTCATTCAATGGAAAGAATGAACAAATATTCCCACACCTGAGGTTTGCCATCGACGTGGCATTTTGATAACGTAAACCTAAGTTACCGCTGAAATAAACCTACCAGTAGTCGATCGATTAATCCCGCACCTGAAACGTGCTCTCAAACGGGAATTTTCAAAATTTCAATTCGATCGACGGAATAAACACCTGAGGTTTGCCATCGACCTGGTATTTTGATAAAGTAAACCTAAAAGTTATAGCTGAAATAAACCTTGGGGTAATCAAAGGCTCATTCCCGCCCCTGAAATGTGCTCTTTTAAATACATTAATTCAATAGACCGAAAAAGCAAAAGATCCCACACCTGAAATTGAAAAGGTATCGCAAACTAATCGTACAGCAGGAAAGGCAAATGGGTAGAAATAAAACTAATTTGTCAAATCGAAATCTTCAACACTTAAGACCTGACAACTCATAGAGGCCCGACAAAACCACCGCACCTCAACAACACCAGAGGTATGGTGAGCCCCAAGGTGGGTGGATTAAGGAGTTTAATCCGTAAGGGACATCGAGTGTTTCAAGAAAAATATCATCATGACCAAAGAGGCGGGAACCTGATTTACACACTGCTTCACTGGTCACTGTTGCGAACGGGTTTGTTTCTCGAAATCTCTACCTAGCGTTCTAAGAGACTTTTTATCGTTTTTTTTTTTTAAAGAAACTTCCACGGGCTACCACTACTACTACGACTGAGACAAGAGAACTGCCAAGAGCTACGGTCTTGCTCTGGCCACAAACCAGAGATAAACGAAACCAAAGCAACCAACACCCAAGATCTATCCGCCGTTCCTCTACGTCCCAGAACTTGACTCAATTGAACTCACCTTGATCTACCATGCGTCTCATGTAACCCAACATGGCGTCGTACGCGAACCTCAGATGTTCCCGATCCCGCAGGACGTTCTTTCTCGCCTGCGACAGCTTCGCCGCGATGGCGGCGAAATCTGGCAACGTTCCCGTCTCGTTGGTCGCCTGCAATATGGCGACGGCCAACAGGCAGACGACCCCGCTACGCCCTATACCGGACGAACAGTGTACCAAGACCGGATGTCCGATATTCTTCTGCTGTTGGAACAGACCTATCAACTCCAGCACGTAGTCGACGAATGGTTCGGACGACGTCGGGAATAAACTGCAAGAGGGCGCGGTCAACTGCGGTCAGAATCCGTCCAAATTTATAAAAAATTCTCAAAAAGGTAACGGATAAGGAGAGAAACAATCGGGTTTTAGAACTTACTCCTTGGATGAAATTACTAAGGCTTACACGCCGTGAAGACGCCATAAAATTTAAAAATTTATTTTTTTCTGATAGAAGTAGTTTAGAATATCAGGAAATTTTAAACGGTGTACCACAAGGAAGCATTTTCGGCCCTCTTTTATACACCATCTATAACCTTAAGTTTGTATAGATATCTTTTGTAAAACAGAATTTTCGGAACGTAGAAATCGCAATCAACTCAGATTCGCCTCAGTCTTGTGAGCCTTCAATCCGAATAAATCACCTGGAAATCGAGCTCATGCTGCATATGCTAAAACTAATTTAGAATTTGTGAGTGTGAATATCTTTCTCATTTCGTTGGTTGCATCTGCCTTATTGTAGTATAGTACGACCAAAAATATAGCGCATTTATTGCTTTGACGTTTTAAGTATTTTACAGTACCTTAGCCTCAGACCTTGGCAGGACCGTGGTAAAACCCATCCCAACAGATGTTTATTCTGCATTATTTGTTGAAAAAAAGTTGATCGGATGCTGCGGGGTATTTTCGAATAAGTGGAAGCGTTTATTTTAACTTCAGGCGATATGTATTATTCTTAACAGTTTAATCTAAATTGCAATATGTTCGTATATATTCCGGAGGTATTAGACTGTGATCCTTCCAGTCAGTACGTATTTATGTACCTGATTCTCGAGCTTTGACCCTGCGAAGCTGTTTTGGCTGGATAGTTCAAAGGGTAAGTACTGGTAAGTTTGAAAATAATCATTTTTGTGTTGTGTGCCTGTCGATTTGCAACATCCTTCTTCTTGCATTTTTCTGTCTTCTACATAGTTCTTCGATTTGTAAACAACAACGGTCTTTTTTAAGATTATACTGTTAATGTCTTTGAAATTAGGAAAATTCCAAATATTTCTTCAAATGAAGAAGAAATTATGTACGAAAATGATTTATACCTAAACAAAAAAACAACTTCTGGAATTATTAAAAATAAAACATTTTAATAAAGACTACAATAATTTATACAAACATTTATACATACAAGATGAAATAACACCAAAATAGGCACCAGTAGGCAAAGTTAATCGCAGGGTCGGTTGTCAAAGCACTACATTTCTGGTCGAAGTATATTCGACAAGTAAATTTAGTAGTTTTTAAGTAACGTTTTGAACATTACCACATTAGAATCATTAACCCTGATGGAACAATAAATGTATTATTATTAATCCGCCTCACCTTCCGGGCCACGAAGTGAACTGGGCGTGCATCACAACCCACGACTCTTTAGTTTCCGGCACCGTGATCGAAATAAGCCGTTCCACCCAATCTGACTTCGGCACGACGCTTTGCAGCGACAAGACCATGTTGGAAATGTTGAGGTTCCTGCCCTTCTCTTTTGGCCAGTACGCGTCGTCGCCGATCTGAAAAAAAGTAATCCTTTGTCGACGAGAAATGATAGAAAAAACGCGACTTTACTTCGTTATCGTTCATCACGCAGAAAATCAGCTCGATTTGCTGCTCGCGGATCATCGTCCAGAAGTCGGCGACGGTGGACGCGAGAGGCGCCTGCGCGACTATAAAGTCTGGACCGTACGGCGAGACGCCCTGCAGAAAAAAAAAACGGAAACGGTTAATCCCACACCTGCGGTGTGCTCTAAATCTGAAATTTTAACGTTAAAAGCACGAACCCGCGACAAAGAAAAAAATCCCACACCTGAGGTGGGAACCTAAATGCCGTAACTAATAAACCTTCGACTAATCAAAAGCTTGATAAAGGAAAACAGCCCCACACCTGAATTTTCAAATTAAATGATTAATCCCGCACCTGATGTGTTCTCTCAGATCGGAATTTCGAAAAACTAGATCTAATCGCGGTAAAAGAAACAGACATTCGGCAAACGGAAACAAATATTCCCACACCTGAGGTTTGGCATGGACGTGGAATTTTAATAACGTAAACCTCGCGGAAATAGGCCTTCGAATAATCAGACGATCAATCCCGCACCTGAAGTGTACTCCCAAACGGGGATTTTAATTTAACCGAGCGAATAAACGTTTGAAGAAAGAAAGATTCCCATACGTGAAATTGAAAACGTCGGAAACAGAATAAGCGTATAGAATCGTAAAATCGATTAAAATGATTAAGCATACTCTCTCCAAACCGTTTTAGTATGTACGTTATACTAGTTGAGTTAATGCAAACCTTAGAATAAAAAAAACACAGATACAGGTTTGTGGAAGCTCCTGTTAACTCGATCCTGACGTATGGGGCTGAATCCTGGACAACGAGCGTCTTCAGTGGATCTAGATTGAGACTAAGTCCCAAGAGACTTGTGTAAGCTATGCAGATGACACCGTGATATCAGTTAATACCACGAACCAATGCCATTAGATCTTGGGATAAATACATTAACAAAGTAGGAGAGCAAGTTGATAAATTTCGAATGTCGGATAACTTAGGAAGTAGGGAGTACATACGTCAGAATAAAAAACAGATACAGGTTTGTGAGAGCTGCTATTTACTTAATCCTATGGCTATCTATGGCACTTGGATATTAGCTAAAGTAAAAGCAGGGAATGTATAACTCAGAAGGGCTGTAGACCGAGTTCCTAAGTGCCATAACGCAAGGCAGAATTGTAGGACTGGTCTAACTTCAGAGTCACGACTAAGAACAGAGAAAAACAGAAAAGTTATATTAGGAAAAGAAGAGAAGGATAAACCAATGCAATCCCACACCTGAGGTTTGCCCTCACAACCTTCAACCGGCCGAAAAACAGGAAGTATATTACTCAGAACGACTGCAGACCGAGTTCCTAACAGTCATAACGCAAGGCAGAATTGTACGATTGGTCCGACTTCAGAGTCACGACTAAGAACAGAGAGAACAAGTTATATTAGGAACCAATGCAATCCCACACCTGAGATTTGCTCTCGCAATTTTGAATTTTCAAAAACCCGGCCGAATGATAGGGGTGACAAATTTAGGATGCCGGATAATATAGAACATGAATGCAGAGACGAATAATATGAGACAGAGAAGAATCTAACGAAGGTATATGAAGGCGTTACGTTTCAAAAACCAGAACAAAATTCGGATTGTCCTGGAAGAGGACTAGAAGAAGACTTACCGAGACGTGAGACGCGTTGATGTAGTCGTCCACGGCCGACCTTAGCTCCACCCTGGAATGATCGTAGGGCAAGATGTCCGGGTAACGGTTCTTCAGCGGGTAACACCTCGCCACGGACACGATCCTTTTCTGTCCGTCGCCGTCCTGACCGTCCTGAACTTCCTTCCACTTAGCGTCGAGGGTCGTCGGCCCACCCAACGTCTTCGCCGTCAGTGTTTCGACGTATTTCTCGTACCTGTCCAGCTCTTGGCGGAACAGTGCCTTCGCGTCCGCGTTACCCAACGCTTTGCTGGGTAGAATCTTGTGGACGCTGTCCTTTTTCGCGACGACCTTCGATTCCGGTACCGGCGCGATCTTCTCCGTCTCTTTGGGGACGCGGGGCGTCGCGCTCGACGGCGTCAACGGGATCTGGTTGACGGAAAAGTCGAGGCCGCTCAGCAGGTCGACGTTCGATTGCTTGGCGGAGGCGGCGGACGGCTGCGCGAGCCCGGTCGCCATATTTTGACCGGCGGGCGTGTCCGGTTGCGTCTTGTATGCGTTCCCGCCGTAAGGGGGCGACGTGTACACGCTGTAACTGTAATTGCTCAGGTCGGGACGTACAGACGTAGCGTACTCCTGCGCGTGGTACTGCGACGCGTGCTGCGTCGATGCGTAGTACTGTGACGCTTCCTTCGGAGAGACCCAAGGTTCTATACCGGGCGCTAACTACGTACGACGAAAAACAAAGGTATGATTTTGTGCGTGGACGCGACGCGGCCGGTTTATCTAGGCTGCTCACGAAAATCCATGGAGAGGCGAACGGAAAAAAGGCAGTCATTATCGACTATCGACAAAAAATGGGACAGGAAAGAGACTATATAGTAAAGTGTTGAGCAAAGAATAGAAGAAAAATCTGAGGAAGCCGAATAACAAAATGAGAGTGGAGATTAAAAAACTTAATAGAGAGTGCAAGAGTAGGAAGAGGGAGTAGAGGAGCACATATAAAAATATAATACAATATATTTGAATAAGCTACGGCCAGCATTGAAAATCAACTTAGATGCATTAAGGCTCTGAATTTTTGAGATGCAAAACTTTTCGCTAACTTGGCAATGAAAGCACTTTAGTCGTTCATGCCTAGATGGTATTTTTATTATTGCATAGGCTTCAACTTGCAAGTTGTCTTTGGAACTTTGCCATGGAAATTATTAGTTAGAGAGAAGAGCAGATGTAAAATGTTTTAATTCGGGGTTCGGTGACTGGAGATCGTTTTACAGCTCTGTAAACAAGAGACAGACAGAGACAGAATAGCCCACAGTTAGGCCTGCTTTTCTATGAATTGGAGACTATTATTAAGTTCTGATTCAATGGGGTTAGGGTGCGTAGAGTTTCAATCTCGTAAAAATTCTTGACCTAAAGGTCAAATAGTAAAACCATCATGAACATAGGTCGAGAGTTTTGTTCTCAAATCTATAGGCAACCAAAACCGCGACTCAGGTCTTTAGGTTTCACCAATATGGTATAGTAGATACAGAGTAGAGTACTAGCCAGTTTCAGTTCGTTTCATGTGTAAATAGTATTACAGTAGCCAGTGGAAATTTCTTTGAAAAATTAAAAGGGCAAATTCTCTCACTTGGCATGGACATCTATCTCCAGCGAAGATCGCGGATCATACCTTTGTTTTTCTTTGTATCATGGTCGTCACTCACGTCTAGTGGGGAACTATAGTTGGGCGCGTAGCCGGGCGGAAAATACTGTTGCTGCTGGGTAGCCTGGTACTGATAACCCGTATCAGTGGCGTAAGGATGCGCGACCTCAGGCTGCGACGTCGACACCGGTTGCTGCTGCTGGTAGTACGCGGAGCCGGTCGCCGACTGGTACTGGTAAGGCCCCGCCCCTTGAGTAGGATAGTACTGGGCGGGTGGGACGTTATCCGAAACCCCGTAATAGTTCGTGGGCGCTTGCGCATCGGGTTGTTGATAGAACTGCGACGTCTCTGGAGTGCTCGACGGGCTGGAGACGTTCGGGGTATGCGAAATGGTCTGGTAGTAATTGGTGGTGGTGGTGAATGCTTTGCTGTCGTACGCGGTACTGGAAGCGTCGGACACGGTGTCGTTATAATGCTGCGAAATCTGCGAATAACTGGTCGGAGTGTAGTTCTGAGGGATGTAGCTCGAGTGCGTGTAGTGTTGGGGGTAGTAGGGCGGTGTGTCCTGCTGTTTGCCCAGCAGCGAGTTCAACCTGGTGGACAGGTCGGCGACGGTCGGGTCCGCGTAAGCGGGTTTAATTTGTTCGACGTACTGCTGCGCGTACTGATAACCGTATTGCTGCGCTGTCGGATAGGCGTACGGGGTTTCATTGGCCGACGGTAAGGCGGGGCGGTCGTTGTTCATCTCGGAACCCAAGGGCGCCGGCCTTACGGCCGGCACGTAGACCTCGGATAGGTTCTGCGAAGCGCCCTAAAGCACGATGGAGCCGTGAAAAGGCGGTAGTTCGAATGTACCAAAGAAAATTGCCGATTCGCTAGCCACCCATTGCACTAATATGAACCCTTAAATCGCAATACTTATTTCACGATAAGTAATGTGATGTGTGTCACGCCGCGCGTTACAACTATAGCAGCCATTTTGAAGCATCAATTTTTTGCCAAATTTGCATCGTTAGTTTTGAGTGTTTAATGTTCAATTTTTGTATTTATACTCGTTATAAATACTGCATCCTTTCTTTCTGTACGGGTTCAACTGTGAAAAATCGAGACCAAATTTTTATTCGGGTATCGGTAGATAAAATTTACAGATGGCAGAGTAGACCAAAGAAACGCTGGTTCCTAACTAACCAATCAAAATTTCGCCAATCCTCCTGCCCCCTTGCACAGTAGTATAGCGATAGGCACTTTCGGTTGAACCCCGAAGAAGCCAACAATAAAGTTTTCAGAGGAAGTTGCCATTTTACTTACCACAAATTTGTTAAAGTCTTAATAGAAGACAAATTCCAAATATCTAATATATCACGCGGTTGTCTTATTTCAAAATAACCTGTGTTTTCCTCAGAACACGCCGTACATACGAACTATCGCGAACAAAACGCGCCCGTGGTATATTCGAACTACCGCGGAAAAAAAAAACAAGAACAAAAACGAACCCCGTAGTTCGGCGCCGCTGGATACGCCTGCGCGTTGCTTTTTCTCGCGTCCAGATAATCTTTGAGCTTGGGCGTCGTCGCGGGCGGTGGCGTCGACGTCGCGACGGCGTCCGTCTTCGCGAGCAGCTGCTCGCGTTCTTCCTGCTGCACGTTGATCGTGCTGCGCACGCGTTGCAGCAGCTTCGACACGTTCGTGTCGAGTTTCGTGTAAAACTCGATGCCCTTGTTCGCTTTCGACAACAGGTCGTCGTACGAATCGTACGACAGCACGAGGGCCTGGATCGTAGACGCCCTTTTGTGGATAGTCTCCTGTATGTAGCGTCGCGTGTTCGTCGCGACGGCGTAGGCGTCGATGAAGGCTTTGCGGATGTTCTCTTGGGCCGCGAGGTTTTGCTCGATCAGCGAGATCTTTCGGAAATAAGTTATCGGTCATTTTGTTGGGATTACTAATACAAAAGAAACTGCCAAAGCCTGTATTAAATCAGAAAGTAACCCGGAAGAATTAATTGCCCTCCAGGCTTTAAGTTGTGGCAATAATTCAGAAAAAAAAAAAAAATTACGTATTTTTGATAAAACTCTTAAAAAAATCATGTAGGCACCAACAATTTATGTTTATCAGACTTCATTAACGCGTTGAAAAGGGTTGACCACTCTATAATGTTGCTGAAATCAGTGTGGAGAACAACCTCGTACTGCCTTTTAGTTCTTACACTGTAGCGATAGCTGGACATCAGCCAAATTCACTTGATAACTTTAAGAGTTGACCAAGGAAGCCATCCCGGTCCTCTACTTTTTAAAATTAAACATTAAACAGTGCTCTAGTAGGAGCATGAGTACGGTTCCTGAGAACTGATGACTGAACACTTGAGATTATTTGATTGCTTATAGATTTCTAAATGCTCAAGCCCTTACTTCAGTTCCTCCCTCTTTAAACGATATATAAGCAGGTACAGACCGCACTCTAGTCCTTATCTGCTTATATATAGCCAGTTTAGGCTAAGCTCTGAAGAAGCCAATGATGATTGACGAACCGTCAGCAAGTATGATTTTTAAACAACCAACGCATGAGGCATGCAGAAGATTTGTAAATACTTTTTACAAAACTTCTGGATTCGTCCTGCGTCGGTTTTTGCTTAGTCGAAATTGCTGACGTTTCGCCAATCATCCTGCTGACTTCTTCAGAGCTTGACTGAAACTCCTCTCTGAAGAAGCCAACAGGATGATGATTGGATTTTTGTATTGTCTCCATGTCATTTCATTTTTTTTTTTTCTTGATTCAATAACATTTTAACGTTCACATCTTATCCTGCCTTTTTTTGCCTCTCCTCTCTATTATATTTTTACTTTAATGCTAGTTACTGAAATATTTTTTCCACCGTTCATTCCTAGTGCAATTTTTTTCTTCCATCGGATTATCACCAATAACGATTAAATACCACTGGCGAACTTCTAGTACCAATTCATATTTAAAACTAGCCCGAGTTGGCGATAAATCGTGTCAAATGCGGCAACCCTGTATTAAAAATCGCGCAAAACTTTATTACCGGCTGAGAAAAAAGCGAAACACCGTACCAGCGGTTGATGTTTCTCCAACTCCTTCCGGAACAGCTCTTCGACGCTCTCGTTCGCCTGTTTTGTGACCAGCGCGCTGGTGATATCGTCGTTATGGACGGCCTCCCGCAGCTGCGCCCACAACATGGCGCGCTGCGTCCTCATTTCGTCCACTTTCGCGCTGAGCGTCTCGAGATTCTTGAGCTGCGTCTCGTCGATATGCGCTAAAATAAATGACAAAAGGATTTTTCAATTTTTTCCGATCTACATCATCCTTAAATATGCCATTAAAGCTCTTTCTGTGCCCGAGAATCCGAGAAAAAGATCTGTCATAGAGAATAGAGAATATAAAGAGAATTCTCAACGGAGGAATAAACCGCATTTTCAATACCAATATTGATTCAAAAAAAAAAAAAAAATCAACTCAACAGAAACCATAAAGACCAAGCACATAAAAAAATGGATTCGAATAAGAAGAAAATTCTGGAACCAACACAATATACCAGTAGAACCGTCGCAGAAGTGTAAATAGCATAATGATTCCTAAGAGATAGGACAAATCGGCCGAGACCACAAAGATCGAGCAATTAAGGATCTATGTTGGAAAAATACCATAGCGAGAAATGAATAGCTAAAAGGCCAAAGTGGAGTCCAAGACGTGATAAAATGGGTTAGAATGAATAGAAAATTCTGGAACCAAAAGAATATATCAGCAGGACCATCGTGGAAGTGGAAAGGACCTCAACAGAGCAGTAAATCGCACTGTCAATTCCTAAAAAGCAAACCAATCACTCACCATCGGGCAAATCGACGCTGGGCAACTTCTGCTGGAGGACGCGCAGCGGCTGCTGCAGGATCTTCAGATTCTCGAGGTGCGTCGACATCGCCCTGCTCAACGTCTGATTCGATTCGTTCGCCTTGACGTGGGCCTCCTTGTACTTGGCCCACTCCCTCGCCAAGTCGGTGGCGACGATGCTCGGCGCCCGTTTGCCCATCACCTCCTGGTATTTCCTCTCGCACTGCTCCTCCTCCCGTAGCAGCGCGTCGATCTCGTTCAGGTTCGACTCGACCTCGTGATAGACGTCGGACAGCTTCGCCATCGCGTCCACCAGGTCCCTTATGGCCGACGGTTTCGCGGACAACGCGGCCGCCCTGTCGATCAACTCCTGCGGGATGCCGCTCGCTTGGTGCATCCTCGTCAGCACGTCCAAGGGCATCGACGACATAAACTCCGCGAGGTTTTGGTCTTTGAGCTCGACCCTCTCGCCGATGCGTCTCAGCATCTGGGCTTTCTGCTCGCTATACAAGGAGGCGGCCTCGTGGGCCTCCATCGGCACGAGACGCGAAAAAATGTCCGGTCCGGCGACGTCTTGGTCGTTGACGTTGAAACCGATGCCCTTGACCAAGGACGCGCCTTTGACCTCCTGCAGATGGGCGAGGTTGGGTATCGCCTCGTGGTAGATGAGGTTGTTCTCGTTCTCCGCCGCCTTCTTCTTGCCCTCCACCACGTCCAACGTGAAGGCCAACGCTTCGGACAGCTCTTTTTGCTGCTGTCCCTTGAACGTGGACAGTAGTTTGCGGGCGTCTTCGAGGTGGGCGGACGCGGATTGGTAGAACGCGACCCGTTCGCCCATCTTCTGCAGTTCCTCGGCCTGCTGGCCTTGGAACAGCAACGAGATGGAACGGTGGTACGCGACCTTGAACTGCAAGTACCTCGACCACTCCTTGTAGGTTTGGCGGCCGCACGTGTCGTCGCCGGTGCATTTGAGGCAGTTCGACGCGTGCCGGTAGTAGTCGTACACCTGGACCGCCACCTTGGCTTTTGAGAGAAGGGAAAAAATCTCGGTGACGCGCGATCCCATCTAAACCATTTTATTTTGTGCATTTGATGCTATAATTTTAATTTTTTTGCGAAAAAACCACGATTTTTTGTTGTTTAATTTAAAAATGTGTGTTTTAAGCGATCTTTATGATTTTTTTTATTTTTTTTAATGCTTTGCACTTCATTTCTGTGATTTTTTTCGTTGTCATTCACAAATGTGCATTTCATGTGACCTTTTTGAATTTTTTACTAGATAACTTTTGAAAAGACTTTTGTTGTTTTATTAACATATATTTCAAGCAGATTTTTTTTCTGGAATTTTCAATCTTTGGATTTATGTCTTCACAAGGCGACATATAAATGCACTTACAAATAATGGTGGATTTTCTGTTGTCCAGCATGCTCTTCTCCAAAATGCACTCCTGAGCCTGTGCCAGACACACCTGCTGGTAGAAATTCACCAGCTCTATCGACGAAACGTAGTTCACCATATCAAAGTATTTTTCCTTGAGCGTCTAAAAGAAAAATACAACGGTTCAAGCAGATCAGTTTCTAAAGTAAAAGTCTTACAGAACATGTTACCACTACAAACTTATAAACAAAATACTATACACTAGGAGCAACCATAACATAACTTTTAAGTACCTGGAATGCCCAAGCGGCACATTGGTAGTGGGCGCAAGCCATTTTCATGCCGTCCGCGGTCGATCTTGAATCCTGGGATCCCAAAAAGGTGTGCAAGGCCCCGATATTGTACATTATGGCCGTCAGTTCCAAGCGAACATCTCCCGAACTGACCGCTCCGTGCGAGTCTTTCCACACAAACTGGACAGCGCATGGTTGTCCCTCCTCCATGGGAAACCTCGACTTTAGGAAATGAAGCTGGCAATAGTACTTTTTCAAGTTCTGGATGCCTGACACATCTTTGCTCGGGTGCACTGCAGCCCCACGGAGGGACTCCAAATTATAAATTTCGGTAGTGTATGATTCAGGGTCTTCGTGGTAAAAGTTAGCGATGTACTGCAAATAGAAGTGCATTACACGATGTATACGTTAATAATTAGCTACATGCCTGTTTGATTTTGTTGGAAAATTGAACGCTTTCTGGGCTAACTTGCAGCTCAATGCTCAGCATTGGAAGTCGCGGAGCGGCTTCCATTTTATCGCTTGATTAGTAATTAAGTACACAACTTTATCGGGCAGTAGTCGATCCGTTCAAAATACATGAATCTAAGAGTGGAATCTAAATAAAATGCCCGCATTCACCGCGTAAACGAAACGCAGATTGTAAACATCGAACAAAAATTTAACACTAGATCGAAAGTAGAGAATTAGTAACAATTTGATGAAACGTTCTATATTTATTGACGATTCAAAAACAAATTAACTAGACATTACGTTAGTCATACCGTGCACGGTAAAAACGACTGTGGTTAGTGACGCCCTCCCACACTTGTTGGAAAGGGAATATGGCCGAACGCTCTCGACAAGTTCTCCCAATACAGTTGGGAGAATAACAAATTGATTAAAATCGGAACGGACAGGATCTTAACTAGTGTTGTGTCAATCGTTTATTTTACGAGCAACGAATCGATCAGTGACCGATTTCAAAAACGACCGAATCATTTCAATCAATCGTTCACTACAATAGTTTTTGTTGCCAACATAAACGGAAATAGTCACTGAATCCGAACAGTCCGACCGACCGATTAAGATTCATTTGAATTTGAATTATTGTTGTGTCTATATAGTCCGTTTGCTGTTTTAGTTAGTATAATATTTAGCTCTGTTCTGCTTTTTATTGCATCATGATTTTATCATAATAGGTGCTACGTATGGGTAATACAGTTTCTTTAAATTCAACACATAAGCAAATCTACCGACCGATACCGAAACTCAACTCAGTACTATATAAATTCGATTTGTTTTGGTACGGTTGGTCGATTGGTTGTTCTGTATTCGGTCAGGGCGGCAGTGACAGCGAGCAAGCTGATCGATTCGTTACGAATTCGTTCGTTCGATCAATCAATCAATCGCGATTGATCCAACTCTAATCTTAACTGACAGTTTATTGTTTTGCTTGATTACGTACTGCAAAATAGATAAACGCTCTCAATCGGCACATCTGACGATCCAAAGTATTATTCAACTCTGTCTACAGCCAAAAATTGTTATCTGCTAAAAGTACATGCAGAAACTGCATGGTGTCTACCGGATTATACAAGTAGTAAGTGGTTAGAGCCATGATTAAAGTATTATTGTTGGCATTGGTGTGTGATACATAACGATTTTGACGGGAAGAAACAAAAACGCACGGAATAGATTATTCTTTGAACTCAAAGAGAGCTAAAACTCGACGATGGATGTGAATTTAAAAATTTTATGTGTTGTAGTCCCTAGTTATTTGTACTATGATGGAACTGTTGAAATCGTATTCTGTGGTTCTTTTAATTTGTGCTTAGTTATTGCACTTTGTGAATGAAGATGTTGACTTTTATTTAGGACTGGAAAAGGCGAGTATTACACAATGAACCACTAGCACTGTTTACAAGACATAAACAAACATTGGCTCGCGATTATAAAAGCTCACAAACATAAAAACTTAAAACATTTGCTTAAATGATATTTTTACAGTTTTTGATTTCTTCAGAAGTAGTTTCAGTTTTAGATGTCTGTACGGCTTATATTTATATATATTTAATTTTTAATTTAATTTAATTTAATTGAAAATTTTCGACAGCAAAATAGGCCAATAGTCTATTTAGGCGAAACGTTGTTCGACACTCACGACATAGTAAAAAAAGGAAGGTGTGATAATACTAACAAGATTGCTTTCGAAAAATCGTCACTGGGCGGGGCAACTTCGTAGCGGGTAGCGCGAAGCAGCTTTTTATTATAAAAGGAACGCATTGTCTTTCTATCGTGCTCCTGGGGATCACTATGGAATTCTCGCAAAATCGATGTAATTTAATTGTGCATGCACCCTGTATAAAATGTCCTTCACATCTCGTCGAACTTCAAAGTTCCAGCAAACATCGGTAAATATCAAAATTTGCAAAAATAATAGCGTTGTCGAATGATATTTTTTCAAATATCTCGCGCCCTGTATAATTTCCGAAACCTGAAACTCTCACGGCACGGTTTACGATACTGTTCAAATAAAATTATCCCATCTTTAACGCTTTTTCATTTATCGCCAATAATTTAGCCACAAAAACGGAAATTTTTAGGATATTTTATATTTTTTGCCCATAAAAGACACACCCCGTATATGATACAATCATTGTTCGAAGTAGAGGTTATAGCCCCGGATTTTCCACGCGTCCTGGTTTAAGAATTTTTTCAAAATAGTAAACGCCGTAATAATCAATGACATCATGGCGTCTTGATAACCCCCGAAATAACGATTTCAATATGGATTTTTTCAAATATCCCGACCAGCGTATATTTTTGAAAAATTGTATCTTCTGCTTCTTCTGGTTCAAGAATTTTTTTGGTCCCAACCCCTAGCCCCCCTATTTTCAATACGTTCCGTCACGGGGCAAAGCTGCATATATGTGTGCCAAATATGAAGTCGATTGCTTCAAATTTCCGACACTTATCGTGTTTCCTAGCAAAAAACAGCCGAAAATCGCGAAAAAAAGATGGATACTGGTTTGGGATCAGGGCCATTTCTTATAAGCTTATGTGCTTCGTCGAAAGTTATTCAGGAAAAACCCAAACATGAGAACGGAGAACGAACAGACAAAAAAAATCGGTTTTGGAGTAAAAAACAGTACAAAATACAGTATAAAAAGCATCATATTTCTGGTAGAAGCACATTTATTTTACAGGGGTTGAACTTTGAGCATTTTTCAATTGCTTTCGTCTCCTTTTCCGCAATTTATCTATTTATAATATCTTATTGTATTGTATAATACATTTACATTCGTGGAACCGCGGCGTGTCGCGGAAATCTAGAGGCTATCGGCAACGTCGCAATCGACGCGGCAACCTTCCACCCTGCAGCAAGTCGGACAAGGTGGAAAATGCGCGTCGCACTTCGGGTGACATGCGCGTCGCATAGGTGCAAGAGAGGCGAAGGCGTCGCGATGCTTGTGCGTGCTAGTCCTTCCCCCCAAAAACTACACCGTGCATAATTGATTCCACCGGAATCCGCGGCGATGCGTTTTTGAGCCGTGAGTGAGACAGAGCTCCCTCTCCCCAGCCGAACCGCCATAACGTAGGAAATGTCTAGTTAAATGTTGTGATAAATGTGATAACCGCGTAAGTTAGGATATATATATATGTATATCGCGATTTTTCGAAAAAAAGCGACGCAAGTACCTGAATTTCGCGTTACCTTCGATGGGGGAGTAGAAACGTCCGGGGACCGGCAGTGTGAGAGAGAAAGGTGAGTGAATATGCGGATATTTTGCGCCCTAACCCTTTCGCAGTGTCCCTCGTAGGGCCGATAGAATAGGGGGTTCGTTATGGGGGGGGCCTCGACTATGAAAATGACGTTTATTTTTTAAAAATCAATACCGCGATGGTACAATATACGGGGGATGAAAGATATACATTGGGATGTCCACTGAAGCATTTGATATGCTAGGTAAAACAAAAACAAAAAAAAAGCTTAACGGATACGATGCCGTGCTGCGATACAGATATAAATTTGGACCTATCCATTGTAAGTACTTCAAGTCTATAAGGTCGTCTAATCGTCTATCGTTTTATAACGGTGTAAAATGGTGTAAAATTTTGAGTTTCCTGTATACATGCTAGTAGCATGTTCTACAGTTTGGGTGCATAATATTCATAAGAACACACAAGATGCTCCTATACTTATCTCAATAAATAGGACACCGAAGAAAAAAAGGTAATTGCAAAAAGTATTTCAACCTAGCTATATATTTTTATGTATACAGAGTGTTGAACACATGATTTAAATCACTTGTTTTTTTTTTTAAATGCAGTGTAATTTTTTAAAATCTTTTTTTTATTGAGACCGCCTCAAAAAGCACAACAAAAAATATTATCACTAAAAAGTAAAACACAATTAAAAAAAAAAGGCAAATAACGTAATAATATACACTTTTGTAGTATAGTTTGAACAGAAATACTAATTTTCTAGGCCCTTTTTCTATCCCGATCCTGCTGCTCATATTTGAATGTACAAAACCAAGTGCTGCAAAAAGCAGTTAAAATTCAAAAAAACAATATTAAAAAAAATCAATGATTTTTTATGACGTAGATGATGTCAGTTTGTTGTGTTGGTACCACCTTTTCAATCAAAAGTTGAATTGATCTTCACGAATCTGCCATACATAGTGGCACCGTATCATCTGTATGACTAATTATGGCACTGCTTTGATTTAGTTGCAACATATCATTTATATTATCAAGTAAATAAAAGTGGACCAAGAAAGCCACCCTTACGTTTTTAATATCGTTCTTATGTTCTTTCTCCGATAAATAATATTTATTTGTAAGTTCTTAAGTAACTTAGTATGACAAACTTCGTTGCATGTTTTGGAAAAATGGACAAAAAGCCACATACATCCTAAATCCGTACTCCAGGTGCGAAAGTATCTTATATTTGTTGAAAAATGTAGTCATCTGGGAATTTATAAGACTCTCCGATATTTTAGCAGAGCCTTATGGCGTTGGCTTTTGTATATAATTACCATTTTGAGACGCTTTGGAAAACGTTCCGGCTTGAAGTTCTTAGTATATGAGAAAGAGGTTCACATACCTCACACTATTCTGATATTATCCCAGCGGGTCGATTTTTTCGCTATGCTCTGAAGTCGTATCGATCGACGTTAAGCGGAAGCCCTACTACTCTTACGCATTTCACGGTAATCTGGATATCTAGAAAACTGGAAAATTCTGCCGAATCCAGTTTGCTCGTGAATAAACGATTTTGAAAAACAATTTTTAGGTTATGTCGAGATTTTAGTAGTGGGTCGTAGACGAAAACAATCGAAGTGGAAAAAGTCAAAAATTTCGGTTAGAACTGCGTCTCAAAAACTGGAAAATTAATAAATATGAATTTTATAACATATAAAAACATAAACCAAGCCATTTTCATTCATGTAGATTGATTTTTATGTATTCTGACTGGTCTTGGAAACTTTCGAGTTGTTCCGCAATTGTTAACCAATTTACTCAATTATATAAATATTTCAAAAACTTTCTTTGCATTAATTAAATTTAATATAGTTCATCAAACTTGGTGTCAAAAATCTGGAAAATTAATAAATATCAATTTTAAAATATGCGTAAATTATCAAACATATAAAAACAAATCCAAGCCAATTTTTTAACTATTTTTATAATATACAGGGTGTTTGCAATAATTAAGGGGGCGATTTTAGGATCCATTTTAAAAAGAAAACAAAAAGTTGTGAAAAACAAGATTT